TTTGATTGTTTGCTAATGTCCAGTGGCTAATATTTCATAGATATTCATTACGGAAACTATTGAATCAATCTAAAATGAAAAACAAAATATGATTATGTTCTGCTGAGAAGATTAGCTGGAATAAAGTGAGTAAAATGTTGACTGCCAAAAAATATGTTGGGACAGAATGTTGTAACAGTTCCTTAACGTACAAAGAGCAGATTCGACGACTAAATATAACAATAATAAGAGGTTGTATGATTGCCAATGAAATAACCCTCCACCAGAGACCAAATGATGACATAGAAGTTTACAACTATATGTCACCGTACGGTCTTTAACAATGAGCAAAACCTATACCGCATAGCCAGGTATAAAAGGCACCAAATTACAAAGGTAAAACAGTTCAAACGAGAGAACTAACGACCTGATTAATGCACAAAACAATGAACAAAAACAAATATGACATATTGCAACAAACGACAATTACTGAATTACAGGCTTCTGACTTTGGTCGATTGGAAATGAAAAAAAAAAACATTTATTGGGACATAACATTAATATACTATTTGAAAAGGGGTAGTGTACATGGATACCACGAAGACATTCGAAATGCATAAGTCAAAGAAAAATGTTCTAGGTCATAGAAAAAATTGAAAATCGTCGAAGTCCACGAACACTGCATGACAAAATATAGAATGAGCAAGGTATGAATAATAATATATACGTGGCTGGGAAAAAAAAGAGAGGCGATGTTAAGTTCTGTATTCTAGAAACTATTCTTTATGTCAACACGAATCAACTGCAAATGAAAAAAAAAACAATTATGAGCACTTCAACATACTGCCACTAGATGTTAGTAACCAAAAATCAATCAACATACAGACTGCACAGCTATATATCTATAGCCTGGTTAATCTTTATTATCTTGTGGTCTCTTAGGACCTTCGCATTATGTTTGCATCATCTTCTCTGTACTTTTACCAGCACCATACAAAGCAGGTTACCGTTCCAAGCATACAACCTGCATGGTTCTACATAGTTTTAAATTGTTACACTCACGGTGAGTGTTTAAGTCAAACACTCAGTCAGTTGTTTTATTAAGCCTACGAATAGCTATAAGTTTAATCTTGATAAAATTTCAAATGACCGAGAATTGTCTTACAAGAGGACGGGCTATACTTCATCGCCTTCTTTTGATACATAAACATTGCATGATGGGGCGAAGTGAACATCACCATCCAAAAAAGGAAACTTAATTATTTGGAACGAAAAATCGTCCCTTTTGTCGTAAATTCTGTATATAATTTCCCGTGTAAAACTGAACTATCTAAATCTAGAAAAGGACAAGTATTGTTGATTATATTTGATTGAAAGTACTCGCTCGGAAAAACATAGAAAATGGAAACACAAAATTAAACCCAATTTACGGATTGTGGGAGTTGTCTTATGGACGAAAAACCCTTAACATTAATACCTTGGACTAGATAATAGTCCCAGGAATTTTATAACATAATTAATAGCTCATTTACTATATGTACTAATTATGTAAACAGGCAATAATCTAATTAATTAATTAATAAATATCTATAGAAAAATTGATTACTAAAACAACAGTATTTGGGAATCGTAAAGAAACACATTTATGATCAACAAAGGGGTGATGATTAGGACTTTAACCATTCTCTGAGGGTCGACACAGGGTGCAACGAATTTGTTCTTATTTAGAAATATTATCTTGTCAACTTTTTCTGAGACAATTCAATTTTTCCACCCTGTTTACGTAACTAATAGTCCTGCTGATGAAAATATTTGCTCTAGCGGTACAGAGGTCACCTTGGTAGAATGCTAGGACACGATTAGCTAAAAGTGCAGGCCTTGGAAAGGTGCTCTTGTTCATAGCGCATGAGTGAATTTTAAATGACAATTAAACACAAACATTCGAAGCGTATTATTATTTTGATTGATATCTAATTTCCCGGGAGGCGCTATTAATAAAAAAAAATTCTTTAAGAAGGCAACAACATTCTAACACAGAAATAACGATTAGTCGAGTATCATTTTGGTATTCGATACTCGGAATTACCGAGCGATACTCGAGTACTCGTTGACATTCCTAATATATAAGGTCGATGATTAAGCAAGGATGAGCTTTGAGTTTTTCATTTTGGTTGATGAAAGCAAAATAGACTTGAACCGCATTAAACAGTAAAAGGTTTCAAGATTTTAGCAGGCTGTGGCTGAATTTATAGAAAACATTTTATTTTTTTTAACAGATTTTTTTTTTTTTTTTCAAATTGATGTTTTTTTTTTGTTCAAATAAAAAATGTCACAGTGACTTCAGTTTTATGAGCATCAATATTTCTAAACTGTTTTGCTCAGTCTGGTTAATTATTCTAATCTTTGATGACATTTTATTAAAGTTCAAAATAACGAGTGAATGACCATTGAAGGTGAAAATTAAATTTAAGTTAATTGTATCTTGTATGATGTGGTTTGATTGCCAATGAGACAACTATCTACAAGAGCCCATATGACGTAGTCGTAACCATGAGGGTCTTCACCGTGAGCAAACCTGTATCGTATAGTCAGCTATAAAAGAGGGTCTGGATGGGGGTCCTTCATTTCTTTATTCTTTAAGTGCCAGTCTTTGTAAGAATCAGCCAATTTCGAAAAAAATCAAAACATGGCGAAATAGTAGGTCTTTCGTTTCTGTGTGTCCGGTAATTCGAGAAATCTCTAGATAACTTTTGGTTAGAATGATATTAAATTACGGAGTTAGCTCCCCTTAATTGTAAATTTCTAGTGCATTTCAACCAAATTATATCTTACAGGAAAAGGAAACAAATGTTATATTCGTGCACCATTATACACTTTGAACATAAATTAATGTCAACCTAAGTGGGTTTTTGTTTGTCATGTTTTCACCACTGCCTGATTCTTAGGCAGATTGGCACTTAACTTTTGAACCATTTTTCTCTATTCTTTACTTATTTTTTGCCATTATTCGTTATTATTAATTTTTGGGCCTATTTCTCTATACTTTTACCCTTTATTCTGCACTTTTTGGCCTTTATTCTCTTTTCTGTAAAAGACCCTTATAAAAGGTCCTGACATGACATAATATAAAACAATTCAAACAAGAAACTTACGGCCTGGTTTGTGTACAACAATATACAAAAACATAACATGACAGACAGCAACCAACGACAACATCTAAATTACAGGCTTAATTCTTACTTTATTTTTTGGACGGACACATTAAGAACGCGGCAGGATTAAACATGTTTGTGAGCGCTTATTGTCTCATTGGCACTCATACCACATCTTCCTATATCTATTGTGAGCTCTCAACCACCCGTATAACCTGAGACAGTGGTGTAACAGCACAACATAAGTAAAGAACAAACTGAAAAACAAGAAATGTAGATGTCCTTATTCACAGCTGTAACTAGTCTACTAAACGAGGTATACATTAGATTTTGTCCAAGGTTATGGTTGTCTTTTTGATATTGTTTTACATCTAACCCCCTTGCTTTCTTAATTTTGTAAATACATTGTGTCATATGTCAAATTTATTCGTTCAGTGTATGTTCACTTGTTTTTGTTAATATGTCTTTTGTTTGAGTTAAGCCATTTCAATTGATATTTTATAGTGTGTCTTTCTATGTTGTGCTGTTACACTATTGTTTCAGGTAGGGTGAAGGGTGGCGCCTTTTAAAACGTTTAAACCCGCTGTATTTGTTTGTACCTGGTCCTAATTCAGGAACCTGAGGTTCAGTGGTTCATAAGTGTTTCTCGTTTTCTCGATTTTTATACATATAATGATTAGACCGTTGGTTTTCCAGTTTGAATGGTTTTACACTAGTCATTTTGGGGGCCCTTTATAGCTTGCTTTTCGGTGTGAGCCTGGGCTGCGTGTGCGTGTTGAAGGCCGTACTTTGACCTATTATGGTTTACTTTTACAAATTGTGACTTCGATGGCGAGTTGTCTCATTGGCACTCATACCACATCTTCTTATATCTATTATATGTTGTTTTATGTAATATGATGTATTTATAGTTTTCAATGATTTAAATCTATATGCAAACCATGTGTGTGCGACCTTTGGAAAATTTTAATCTTCCAATATATACATCTATGATCTAACCGAGGCAGATAATAGTAAACGGTCAACTTTTATTTAAAAACACGTGTATAATATGCTTCAAAATTTTAGGCGACTTTATAGTTTAGACAATAGTTTTATTCGAAATAAAAAGTTGAATTTGGTTGTGCAACAGAGCAAGCCTGGGCTATAATTAAGCTTTCTATGTGGCTTTCAATTCTTATCGATCTGAATGCATTCCTTCTTACGGTTGTTCATTTAATGAGAAATCGAATTTATTTGATACATTACAAGAAAAAGAGAGAAGAAGGGAATTGTATTTCCCCTCACTGAATGCGCACATGCTAACACCAGATACATATTAAGTAAGATAAAAGTTCCGTGGAGCATAAGCCAGCACGGTTAGACTTGTTGAAGACTGTGGTACATGAGGGTCTGGATGGGGTTTACAGAATAGAGAATAATGGGTCAATAAAACTGACTGTGAAAAATGGTACGGGTTAACGTATTGCCTGTTTTCGTAAAAAAAAAAAAAAAACAAAACAAAACAAAACAAAAGAAGTGAAATAAAGAGGATAGTGTTTGAAAAGTAAACGTTTATCCGTGGGCAGGAGTTTTTCGTCTGCAGAATATATAGATTGTGAAAGGCTGGACAATTGGATTAAGTATTAAATATTTAATTTCGTTTATTGTGATGGATTAGTCCGCATGCTGTAAATAAGTTGATCATTTATTAACTTTAAGTTTATGTACATAAATTGTAAACAAATTTTAAAAGAGTGCTCCGTCATATGTCCGTGTGTGAGGGTTAGGGTGCAAATAAGTAAGCTTTAGAAGCGAAACTCCTGCTAGAGGAGGAAGATAAAGACTAGGTAACAAGAACAGTGATTACTTCCCCTGAAAGTACTCTTTCGCAGAACCAAAACAAGAAAATGGAGGCTGTGCCTCGGATGCCGATGCTGTCTTTCGAACTTAAACAGTGTCCAGAATATGTTGATTTTGGTCCAGTCTTAAAGCAGGTTAGTTTATTCAAAGCTTGAAGTTATTGTTTACGCTGTTGATTGTATATTTTAGAATATATTCTTGCATTGAGAGACGATTATTAGAGATACTATATTTCGTGTAACAACTGTCAGAATGAAAAAAAATAAAATAGATTATATAAAAAGGTTTATAAAGTTAATGAAATTTATATCGATTTCAGTGAATTTCCTTTTATTAAATCTAAATTAATAGAAGCTACCTGATAGATAGAGAGTTATTTTTAGTAACATAATTGTAAACAACAACACATGCCAATGACTCATCATACTCATAGGATTAAAAAAAAAGAACACTTTTGTAAATGATACTTTCATGTAATACTTGATTGTTTGGTAGCTATAAAAGTGTTCTTATTCAGGGCTGTAACAAACGTGTAAATCAGATGATACAGCACAGTGCCCACCTTTTTATCTGACTCCCTGTAGAATAGAAAATTTTATTTTAAGTGGGGTTGACATGAAACATTACAAACAGAAGCTCTGTTGAGCTTTTTCCCGACATTAATAGAAATCAAAACATATTCAATATTAAGACATATTAAACACAGTGATTTTGCTAGCGCTCGTCATTTACGAAACGGTTTTCAAAATGACGAAAGTATTCCTAATCAATTTTGTCACTTAAATTTTGAAAGAGTAGAAATATTTTTGCATGAAAATACTATTATTCTACCTGTCATATTGTTTCTGACAAGTTTATGACCCTCAGCTAATTAACATTTACAACAGGTGTTATGAGTTGTGATTACAGGTAATCCGCTTATAGCCATTGGATGGGTCACTAATCCGTTAATTATTTATCAACCTCATAATTGATCATCATAATTATTTTCCCTAGTAAAATCAGTCAGTCGGCATTTCAATTTAAATATTTATAAAACGAGCACAATTTGCAGTTCGTTTGTCGTAGTTTCGTCATTTGAGTTTTCCCTCTGACAGTTCGCATTTTAATTTCAATATTTCTCAAACAATCACAATTTGCAGTTCGCTTGTCGTAGTTTCGTCAAATGAACGTATTTTCGTCATATTTGATATAACTTTTAATCAAAAACTTTCGACAATTTCGATTAAAAAGAACTTTATTCAGAAATGTTTTCACGAGTCAAACAGGTGCTTCCTTTACGATGTACTGCGCATGCCCGAAAGTATTCTTATGAATTTAAAGACACTAAAAACATAAAATACGAAATAATTAAGTATCAAACTAAATGAGAGAGACAAATATGGTTCTTATTTAGCAAATTCAATTTAAAAAATGATAATTTCCTGCCTTTTTTAAACACGAACCAATCCGTAGATTAATCCAGATTCATTCTGAATTTATTATCCACTGTCACTTCCCGTTTTCATTTCATTTGGAAATCGAAAGTAAACGCGATCTATTCATGATAAATTTACAATTTAAAGTCATAATAATTTTTCCAATAAGGAACCTTACAAGTTCATTTATCATCGGCTGTGATTCCTGGTTTAAAAAAAATGGATCCCGACTTTTGCTGATTAGGAATTTACCCTGAAACTAACTGAAGTGAAATTGTGAACTAGATTTCTAGATCATATATCCTAATCTTCGTATTAAAGTGCCACATCAGTCAAATCATGCAGTAACTGCCTAGTATGCCCTAGTCCTCCAAAGTCTGACAAAGATGTGTAGATAGTAATATACATCCTAAGTCCCTTGCTGCAACCCAAAATAAGGTTGATTTTCATCACGCGCAAAAGTGACTAAAGCCCTCAAAATCCTAGCTTAAACCCTGAAACATATCATACAAAGTAAGAATGCTTCATTGCATAAGCAAAATGTAGTGATCTTTTTTCTTGCAATTCCTATTGGTCTTAAGTAGAGGAACTACTGTACATTACATGTAGCTTGTCAACACTGAGGTTGTGAATTCAAATTACGCACGTAGCAGGTGCACTTGACTCCAATCTTAATTGACTAGGATTGTTTAAGTTTTCCTACCAAAGGTCAGTGGTTTTCTCTGGGCACTCCAGCTTCCTCTGCCAATAAACATGATAAAAAATAGTGCTGTAGTGCTGAAAGTGGCATTTTACACCAGTCAATCAATCTTTGCAATTCTGGCGTCCTGTCCTTTTTATTTAACAACTCTTCCCTTTTAACCTCAACATTAATGATAACCAGTCAGGGATATAACTCTATAGGGTTATTAGAGAAAATATCTTTCATGTGTTATTACAGATACTTTCATGAGTTGTCTACTCTTTATTCCTGAAATTTTCTAAATCTGTAGTAACATATGTTTGTTATTTGTTAAATACATCATAAATATTTTAACTTTTAGTGGGCACTTGGGAATTCTTGAAACTTTGTGCATAAACAAAATACATAGCCTTGATAACTAATTTTCATATTAAATTAATACATTTTTCATCAACCATGGTAACTCAATGAGACAAGGCTTTTAAGGGATAAACTTAACAAGGCTTAGTTATTAAAGGCATGTAACTTATTATATGAGACACTTGGGAATCTTGCGCAGAACCTCTTTACATGCTCTGATAATTATTTCTTACAATGAATTAAAATACATTGTGATTAAGCATGATGTATGTCTGAGCAAAGGCTTTGAAGTGATGTAGAGAAGCTGTAATAACACCCTTTAGTTATTACAGGCATATTTTTTTTGTAATAGCATACGTAGGTGTACTATGCATGATTGGCAAACTATGAACTGTTATATCTTTCAATAGTTTAGTATACATAAAGGCAATGATAGTTTCAATAGAGCTTGTATACATTTTATCAAAACAAATAATGTATATTGGCCCTATGAAACATGTAACATACATACATGTATGTTATCACAGTTCTTTTTAACTTTTTTAGTCCACAATAACAAATTAAATGTATGTTATTTTTCTCTAATAACCCTATAAAGTTATATCCTTGACTGATAACTGACCATTGATTGACTTAGCTTATCTAATGATTAATTACTTACGTAATTCACTATCGATTTTATTCAATAATGCAGATCATTTGCATTCATTATAGTAAATGTATCACTTGGATGCCATGTCGTCAATGAAAGGGACTACAGACCTAGCTGTACAAATGTACCTATGTTGATGTAACACTCGCAACATTGACCCCAAATTTGATTAATACCATTTTCTCTGTAGATATATAGATATAAGAAGTTGTGGTATGAGTGCCAATGAGACAACTCTCCGTCCAAGTCAAAATTTATAGAAGTAAACCATTATAGTTCACAGTACGGTCTTCAACACGGAGCCTTGGCTCACACCGAACAGTAAGCTATAAAGGGCCCCAAAAAATTACTAGTGTAAAACCATTCAAACAGGAAAACCAACGGTCTAATCTATATAAAAAATGAGAAAGAATTTGTTTAAACCACACACTCAAGTACAATACATGTGTATGTGTAAAAATAATATGTCTTTCAATTTCAGTACATAAAGAACAACTATGGAGAAGATCCAGCTCATTATAACAAAGCTTGTAGTGATCTAGAACAGCTTAGACAGGTAAAGAGGCTAGAATACCACGTCTTCTTACCCTGAACCATAACATATATAACATTTATAACAAAGCTTGTAGTGATCTAGAACAGCTTAGACAGGTAAAGAGGCTAGAATACCACGTCTTCTTACCCTGAACCATAACATATATAACATTAATAACAAAGCTTGTAGTGATCTAGAACAGCTTAGACAGGTAAAGAGGCTAGAATACCACGTCTTCTTACCCTGAACCATAACATATATAACATTTATAACAAAGCTTGTAGTGATCTAGAACAGCTTAGACAGGTAAAGAGGCTAGAATACCACGTCTTCTTACCCTGAACCATAACATATATAACATTAATAATAAAGCTTGTAGTGATCTAGAACAGCTTAGACAGGTAAAGAGGCTAGAATACCACGTCTTCTTACCCTGAACCATAACATATATAACATTTATAACAAAGCTTGTAGTGATCTAGAACAGCTTAGACAGGTAAAGAGGCTAGAATACCACGTCTTCTTACCCTGAACCATAACATATATAACATTTATAACAAAGCTTGTAGTGATCTAGAACAGCTTAGACAGGTAAAGATTTAGGCTAGAATACCACGTCTTCTTACCCTGAACCATAACATATATAACATTTATAACAAAGCTTGTAGTGATCTAGAACAGCTTAGACAGGTAAAGAGGCTAGAATACCACGTCATCTTACCCTGAACCATAACATATATAACATTAATAACAAAGCTTGTAGTGATCTAGAACAGCTTAGACAGGTAAAGAGGCTAGAATACCACGTCTTCTTACCCTGAACCATAACATATATAACATTAATAACAAAGCTTGTAGTGATCTAGAACAGCTTAGACAGGTAAAGAGGCTAGAATACCACGTCTTCTTACCCTGAACCATAACATATATAACATTAATAACAAAGCTTGTAGTGATCTAGAACAGCTTAGACAGGTAAAGAGGCTAGAATACCACGTCATCTTACCCTGAACCATAACATATATAACATTTATAACAAAGCTTGTAGTGATCTAGAACAGCTTAGACAGGTAAAGAGGCTAGAATACCACGTCTTCTTACCCTGAACCATAACATATATAACATTAATAACAAAGCTTGTAGTGATCTAGAACAGCTTAGACAGGTAAAGAGGCTAGAATACCACGTCTTCTTACCCTGAACCATAACATATATAACATTAATAATAAAGCTTGTAGTGATCTAGAACAGCTTAGACAGGTAAAGAGGCCAGAATACCACGTCTTCTTACCCTGAACCATAACATATATAACATTTATAACAAAGCTTGTAGTGATCTAGAACAGCTTAGACAGGTAAAGAGGCTAGAATACCACGTCTTCTTACCCTGAACCATAACATATATAACATTTATAACAAAGCTTGTAGTGATCTAGAACAGCTTAGACAGGTAAAGATTTAGGCTAGAATACCACGTCTTCTTACCCTGAACCATAACATATATAACATTTATAACAAAGCTTGTAGTGATCTAGAACAGCTTAGACAGGTAAAGAGGCTAGAATACCACGTCATCTTACCCTGAACCATAACATATATAACATTAATAACAAAGCTTGTAGTGATCTAGAACAGCTTAGACAGGTAAAGAGGCTAGAATACCACGTCTTCTTACCCCGAACCATAACATATATAACATTTATAATAAAGCTTGTAGTGATCTAGAACAGCTTAGACAGGTAAAGAGGCTAGAATACCACGTCTTCTTACCCCGAACCATAACATATATAACATTTATAATAAAGCTTGTAGTGATCTAGAACAGCTTAGACAGGTAAAGAGGCTAGAATACCACGTCTTCTTACCCTGAACCATAACATATATAACATTTATAACAAAGCTTGTAGTGATCTAGAACAGCTTAGACAGGTAAAGAGGCTAGAATACCACGTCATCTTACCCTGAACCATAACATATATAACATTTATAATAAAGCTTGCAGTGATCTAGAACAGCTTAGACAGGTAAAGAGGCTAGAATACCACGTCTTCTTACCCCGAACCATAACATATATAACATTAATAACAAAGCTTGTAGTGATCTAGAACAGCTTAGACAGGTAAAGAGGCTAGAATACCACGTCTTCTTACCCCGAACAATAACATATATAACATTAATAACAAAGCTTGTAGTGATCTAGAACAGCTTAGACAGGTAAAGAGGCTAGAATACCACGTCTTCTTACCCTGAACCATAACATATATAACATTTATAACAAAGCTTGTAGTGATCTAGAACAGCTTAGACAGGTAAAGAGGCTAGAATACCACGTCATCTTACCCTGAACCATAACATATATAACATTAATAACAAAGCTTGTAGTGATCTAGAACAGCTTAGACAGGTAAAGAGGCTAGAATACCACGTCTTCTTACCCCGAACCATAACATATATAACATTTATAATAAAGCTTGTAGTGATCTAGAACAGCTTAGACAGGTAAAGAGGCTAGAATACCACGTCTTCTTACCCCGAACCATAACATATATAACATTTATAATAAAGCTTGTAGTGATCTAGAACAGCTTAGACAGGTAAAGAGGCTAGAATACCACGTCTTCTTACCCTGAACCATAACATATATAACATTTATAACAAAGCTTGTAGTGATCTAGAACAGCTTAGACAGGTAAAGAGGCTAGAATACCACGTCATCTTACCCTGAACCATAACATATATAACATTTATAATAAAGCTTGCAGTGATCTAGAACAGCTTAGACAGGTAAAGAGGCTAGAATACCACGTCTTCTTACCCCGAACCATAACATATATAACATTAATAACAAAGCTTGTAGTGATCTAGAACAGCTTAGACAGGTAAAGAGGCTAGAATACCACGTCTTCTTACCCCGAACCATAACATATATAACATTAATAACAAAGCTTGTAGTGATCTAGAACAGCTTAGACAGGTAAAGAGGCTAGAATACCACGTCTTCTTACCCCGAACCATTACATATATGACATTAATAACAAAGCTTGTAGTGATCTAGAACAGCTTAGACAGGTAAAGAGGCTAGAATACCACGTCTTCTTACCCCGAACCATAACATATATAACATTTATAACAAAGCTTGTAGTGATCTAGAACAGCTTAGACAGGTAAGGCTAGAATACCACGTCATCTTACCCTGAACCATAACATATATAACATTTATAACAAAGCTTGTAGTGATCTAGAACAGCTTAGACAGGTAAAGAGGCTAGAATACCACGTCATCTTACCCTGAACCATAACATATATAACATTTATAATAAAGCTTGTAGTGATCTAGAACAGCTTAGACAGGTATAGAGGCTAGAATACCACGTCTTCTTACCCCGAACCATAACATATATAACATTTATAATAAAGCTTGTAGTGATCTAGAACAGCTTAGACAGGTAAAGAGGCTAGAATACCACGTCTTCTTACCCCGAACCATAACATATATAACATTAATAACAAAGCTTGTAGTGATCTAGAACAGCTTAGACAGGTAAAGAGGCTAGAATACCACGTCTTCTTACCCCGAACCATAACATATATAACATTAATAACAAAGCTTGTAGTGATCTAGAACAGCTTAGACAGGTAAAGAGGCTAGAATACCACGTCTTCTTACCCCGAACCATTACATATATAACATTAATAACAAAGCTTGTAGTGATCTAGAACAGCTTAGACAGGTAAAGAGGCTAGAATACCACGTCTTCTTACCCCGAACCATAACATATATAACATTTATAACAAAGCTTGTAGTGATCTAGAACAGCTTAGACAGGTAAGGCTAGAATACCACGTCATCTTACCCTGAACCATAACATATATAACATTTATAACAAAGCTTGTAGTGATCTAGAACAGCTTAGACAGGTAAAGAGGCTAGAATACCACGTCTTCTTACCCCGAACCATAACATATATAACATTTATAACAAAGCTTGTAGTGATCTAGAACAGCTTAGACAGGTAAGGCTAGAATACCACGTCTTCTTACCCTGAACCATAACATATATAACATTTATAATAAGGTTTGTGCTCAATCTAGAAAAATTTGGAGGGGTAAAGGTCAGTGCTGGTTTAAGATGCCATTATGATTTAACCATATTAATAATGTTTATTAAGATAAAGCCTCTAATGACCTAAAACATTGTAAAACAACTAAAGACACAATTTTCCTCATCTTTGGTATTGATGATAAATACCCAAGAAATGCAGAAAATTCACTTACCTCGTCATATACATTTGTACATTACATGGATATGAATTTTAAGGCATTTGCAAAGGAAAAGAAGCATGCTGTCTTTGAAAGCATGCAAAATCTATTGGGAGAGGGTTGGAATTAAGTTTGAGGTAAATGAATGAAGGCTGCTAAGGCAAAAAAAATGTGTGTTTATGGTCACCCGACCAACCCTCATTTTATTGCTGCGACCCTAACTTCTTTTATCAATGGCTGCCTTCAGTGCCAGCACTGCCAGCATTTTGTCGCTAACTTTTAAACAGTGTCCCATTTAAAAGCAGACAAAAATGTCATAGCTTTCATTGATATATTCAATGAGTATCACGATAGTGACAATTTTCATTTGAAAAATAATGATTCTTGTAAAGTAATGACATCTCCAAATAATTTTGAGGTTACTCCTACATCATGTACATTGTCAGTCGGAGAAGTACCGGTAGTGACATTTTTCAGTGTTTAAACTTTTTTATCATTAAGAATTTTCACTTTTAGGTCTTCTTTTCTTTTAATGAAGCACGTCTTTATAACAAGTTTGATTACAAGTACTGAATACTTATTAAGGTTAAATAAGAGAGAAAATTCTGAAAAAAATGTCAACAATAATTTAAGATGCATGGGCAATGTTCATGTATGGAAATTGGGATACAGAGGAGACATGGCAGATACATATACATTCTGTTATTTTAAATTACCTTTATTTTCAGAGTGCTGTTCATGTGTCACATGATTTCATGGGATGTAGTACATTAAAGAAGTACTATGCCCAGTTACAATTCTTACAAGGGAGGTTCCCCATGGGGGAAGAAGGAGAATGTGGTATAAATTTTACCTGGTAAGTACACATGTTACTGTGAAAGTACTTTTATTTGTGGGTATCAATTTTCGTGGTTTGAGCAAAAGTTACATGTTCGTTGGTTCTTAAACTCATGGATTATAGTTTCTGAAAAAAAATTAAGTGAAGAATTTGAAGCCATCAGAAACGAAGATGAGAGAAATTAATCATATGTTGTTTTATAATGATTTGTGGGACATTGAAAAATAAGGTGTTCAATTTCACTAACTTGGTCATCTTTCATTACTGAAGACATTCATAGCTGATTTATCTTTACTTACAAATTGTCTCAATTGAAAGAAATTGCAAAGTAAACATTTGAATTGTAGCACATGTACATGTGTAATCAAAAGTGAGGACACTAATTAACCGGTGATCCAATCAACAGACTAACGTTTATCAAAGGTGTTAATTTGGCAATAAACATGTCACTTAAAGAAAAGGGTTAGATAAAACATGCTGCAAACTTGACAAATGTACATTGAAGTGTAGAAATGTTCTTTTGAAATAAAAATGCAAGCCCAATATGAAATTTTTTTTTTTCGTGTGAGAATTATGAGGAGATAGATTGAACACGTCATGATCCAATATCATCACCGGAAGTTTGACTTTAATTGATCTTTGTTAATAGTCATACAGTTTAGGTTTTTTTAAAGGTTAAATGGGTTAAATCCTTTCTAAAGCTGTATATATTTCATAGTATGTTTGCTGATATTCGATTTATTCCCGTATCCATGTAGTCAAACCTACAAGGGGATCTTTCCATGTATTGATTTGGACAACAGTTGTTATATTTCGTTTGACACTTAAATTCATTGATGGCTTTATCATGTTTATCCACAAAAATTGGTACCCCATGAATGAAGGTACAGTCACAGTAATCATTGTTTATATATAGCTTTACTAGAATAGGCTTTACATGTTGCTGATCAGAAAGGAAAAAACATATTAAGGGGGCTCGCGGGTATAAATTTTTTTTTTTTAGCTCACCTGGCCCAAAGGGCCAAGTGAGCTTTTCTCATCACTTGTTGTCCGTCGTCAGTCGTCCGTTAACTTTTACAAAAATCTTCTCCTCTGAAACTACTTGGCCAAATTTAACCAAACTTGGCCACAATCATCTTTGGGTATCTAGTTTAAAAAATGTGTCTGGTGACCCGGCCAACCAACCAAGATGGCCGTCATGGCTAAAAATAGAACATAGGGGTAAAATGTAGATTTTGGCTTATATCTCTGAAACCAAAGCATTAAGAGCAAATCTGATGGAGTATAATTGTTTATCAGGTCAAGATCTATCTGCCCTGAAATTTTCAGATGAATCGGACAACTTGTTGTTGGGTTGCTGCCCCTGAATTGGTAATTTTAAGGAAATTTTGCCGTTTTTGGTTATTATCTTGAATATTATTATATGTAGAGATAAACTGTAAACAGCAATAATGTTCAGCAAAGTAAGATCTACAAATAAGTCAACTTGACCAAAATGGTCAGTTGACCCCTTAAGGAGTTATTGCCCTTAATAGTCAATTTTTAACCATTTTTCGTAAATTTTTGTGATCTTTTACAAAAATCTTCTCCTCTGAAACTACTAAGAAAAATTTAACCAAACTTGTCCACAATCATCATTAGAGTATCTAGTTTTAAAAATGTGTCTCATGACCCCACCCTCGAACCAAGATTTGCTGACATGGCTAAAAAATAGTACATAGGGTAAAATGCAGTTTTTGGCTCATACCTCTGAAACCAAAGCATTAAGAGCAAATCTGATGGAGTATAATTGTTCATCAGGTCAAGATCTATCTGCCCTGAAATTTTCAGATGGATCGGACAACTTGTTGTTGGGTTGCTGCCCCTGAATTGGTAATTTTAAGGAAATTTTGCCGTTTTTGGTTATTATCTTGAATATTATTATATGTAGAGATAAACTGTAAACAGCAATAATGTTCAGCAAAGTAAGATCTACAAATAAGTCAACTTGACCAAAATGGTCAGTTGACCCCTTAAGGAGTTATTGCCCTTAATAGTCAATTTTTAACCATTTTTCGTAAATTTTTGTAATCTTTTACAAAAATCTTCTCCTCTGAAACTACTAAGAAAAATTTAACCAAACTTGTCCACAATCATCATTAGAGTATCTAGTTTTAAAAATGTGTCTCATGACCCCACCCTCGAACCAAGATTTGCTGACATGGCTAAAAAATAGTACATAGGGTAAAATGCAGTTTTTGGCTCATATCTCTGAAACCAAAGCATTAAGAGCAAATCTGACGGGATAAAATTGTTCATTAGGTCAAGATCTATCTGCCCTGAAATTTTCAGACCAATCAGGCAACACGTTGTTGGGTTGCTGCCCCTGAATTGGTAATTTTAAGAAAATTTTGCAGCTTTTGGTTATTATCTTGAATATTATCATAGATAGAGATAAACTGTAAACAGCAACAATGTACAGCAAAGTAAGATCTATAAATAAGTCAATATTACCAAAATTGTCAATTGACCCCTTAAGGAGTTATTGCCCTTTATAGTAAATTTTTTACAATTTTCATAAATTTTGTAAATTTTTGTAAATTTTTACAAAATATTTTCCACTGTAACTACTGGGCCAAGTTCATTATAGATAGAGATAATTGTAAGCAGCTAGAATGTTCAGTGAAGTAAGATCTACAAACACATCACCATCACCAAAACACAATTTTGTCATGAATCCATCTGTGTCCTTTGTTTAATATGCACATAGACCAAGGTGAGCGACACAGGCTCTTTAGAGCCTCTAGTTTTTTAAATATAGGATTTCGCTATATTTTTCTATAAATGAACTTTATCATATACTTAATAGAAATTAAAATAAAAAAATGGGGTCACTGTTCAATTAAGCTTACAATCTGCCTTCGAAAGAAGCATACATTTTTGTACAGGTACTTTTTTTCTGTTAAACTAATAGGAGAAATAGAGGTAATATCGAAATAAAAAAGAACTAAATTACAGAAATCGCTTAAATTTTACAATTTTGATGAAAAAAATTGCGTTTTTGCACCAAAGGGAGATAATTTGGAGCTTTTTCAATGACATGTACATTTTAAAAGTCATCTTGGGCCAAAACAAATTGATTTTTTCGGTTGATTTTTGTACCATATATATAATGAGTAACAACTAATAAAGTAATAAATAAAATTTGTAATGAAAAAAAAAATGTTTAAATTTTTGCTGAAATTTTTGTACCCTCGAGCCTCCTTAAGTGCATGAAGTGTAGGCTATGCTTTTCTGCAGATCAATTTATTGATATCAATGGCTTTGCCTGTCATAAAAATACTGAACAAATGTTGAATATGTAATTTGAAGCAGACTACATTGGCAAACAATGCACATAAAGATCTGTTATCTTGAATCAAAGCATTTTCCAAAAATTGAATATAGTCATGGCTCAGGCAGCTGTTTGGTCCCTTTCGGCAGTGTTCAGTGTTTTTGAAATGAATTTTTCACACATAAAAGATTTTATTAATAATAATACCCAGTATTTTACACAGTATTGTAACTTTAATAGTTCAATGTAATGTAAAATCTAATCTTGTTAATTTAGAATCTTTTATTCAGTTTGACACTTGTCTACCATTGTAAAACATATAATGTCTTCCATATATATAAATAAGAAGATGTGATATGAGTGCCAATGAGACAACTATCCATCCAAGTCGTAAAAAGTAAATTATAGGTCAAAGTACGGCCTTCAACACAGAGCCTTGGCTCACACCGAACAGCAAGCTATAAAGGGCCCCAAAATGACTAGTGTAAAACAATTCAAACAGGAAAACCAACGGTCTAATCTATATAAAAAAAAGAAACACTTGGGAACCACACCAACAACGACAACCACTGAACAACAGGCTCCTAACTCAGGACAGGTGCATAAAAATGTAGCGGGTTGAAACGTTTTAACAAGTGCCAACCTTGTCTATTCATGATTACTGGGGATTCATTTATTTTCATGAATTGAGGAAAATGTTTAGTTTTAATGATATTTGATTTCATGGTTTTGCCAAAATCTGCATACAATCCTATATCATGTATATAATTGATTTATACTTTGTTGAAAATTCATGATTTACCCATAAACAACCCCTGAAAATTGGTATCCCACGAATAATGACAAGTCTACAGTAACTAGTCTCATTGAAATTTATGCAATAGCGCCTTTATATTTACTTTGTTTAAAAATTTCTTGACATTACTCCAACATCTCCTCTTGTAATTATGTTCACAACTGTATATGTGTTTGCTGTTTCAGGGAGGATGTTTTCCTGGGAAGAGAAGTAACAATCCCGGATGTAAAGTTTGAACAGGCCTGTATCCTATATAACATAGGAGCTTTACATTCTATACTGGGTAGTATAGAAACCAGGCAGAGTGCTGATGTAAGTAATTTTATAACAATCCCTGATGCGAAGTTTGAACAGGGCTGTATCCTATACAACATAGGAGCTTTGCTGTCTATACTGGGCAGTATAGAAACCAGGCAGAGTGCTGATGTAGGTAACATGACAACATGAAAACTTGTCAACCTGTTTTTAGCTCACCTGGCCCAAAGGGCCAAGTGAGCTTTTCTCATCACTTGGCGTCCGTCGTCGTCGTTAACTTTTTACATTTTGAACTTCTTCTAGAGGACCACTGAATGGAATGAAACCAAACATGGCATGAATGTTCCTTATGAGGTGCTGACCAAGTGTTGTTACTTTGAAGCCGATCCATCATCCAAGATGGCCACCAGCGGGGGACTTAGTTTAACATAGGACCCTACGGGAAATACATACAAATGTCTTCTTTTAGAGAACCACTGAATGGAATGAAACCAAACATGGCATGAATGTTCCTTTTGAGGTGCTGACCAAGTTTTGTTACTTTGAAGCCGATCCATCATCCAAGATGGCTGCCAGCTGGGGACTTATTTTAACATAGGACCCTATGGGAAATACATACAAATGTCTTCTTTTAGAGAACCACTGAATGGAATGAAACCAAACATGGCATGAATGTTCCTTATGAGGTGCTGACCAAGTGTTGTTACTTTGAAGCCGATCCATCATCCAAGATGGCCACCAGCGGGGGACTTATTTTAACATAGGACCCTATGATAAATACATACAAATGTCTTCTTTTAGAGAACCACTGAATGGAATGAAACCAAACATGGCATGAATGTTCCTTATGAGGTTTTGACCAAGTGTTGTTACTTTGAAGCCAATCCATCATCCAAGATGGCCGCCAGCTAGGGACAATGTTTAACAAAGGACCCTATGGACATTTTAATACATACAAATGTCTTCTTTTAGAGAACCGCTGAATGGATTAAAGCCAAACATGGCATGAATGTTCCTTATGAGTTGCTGACCAAGTGTTGTTACTTTGAAGCCGATCCATCATCCAAGATGGCCGCCAGCGGGGGACTTATTTTAACATAGGACCCTATGGGAAATACATACAAATGTCTTCTTTTAGAGAACCGCTGAATGGAATGAAACCAAACATGGCATGAATGTTCCTTATGAGGTGTTGACCAAGTGTTGTTACTTTGAAGCCAATCCATCATCCAAGATGGCCGCAAGCTGTGGACAATGTTTAACAAAGGACCCTATGGACAATTTAATACATACAAATGTCTTCTTTTAGAGAACCGCTGAATGGATTAAAACCAAACATGGCATGAATGTTCCTTATGAAGTGCTGACTAAGTGTTGTTACTTTGAAGCCGATCCATCATCCAAGATGGCCGCCAGCTGGGGACAATGTTTAACAAAGGACCCTATGGACAATACATACAAATGTCTTCTTTTAGAGAACTACTGAATGAATTAAAACCAAACATGGCATGAATGTTTCTTATGAGGTGCTGACTAAGTGTTGTTACTTTGAAGCTGATTCTTCATCCACGATGGCCCCCATGCAGGGGGACTTCCTTTAACTAACATAAGACCCTATGGGAAATGCATACAAATGCTTCTTCTAGAGGTGCACTGAATGGAATGAAACCAAACATGGCAAAATGTTTCTTATGAGGTGCTGATGAAGTGTTGCTACTTTGTTGCTGATTTACTGTTCAAGATGGCCACCAGGATTTTTTATTAAATTACAGGGCCAATATTAAACCAAATTTGGCCTCGCTCATTATTAGGGTATCTGTTATGATTTTAATCTATTTTTAAATTACATGATTTCCAAAACCAAAGTAGAATCAGGTGAGCGACACAGGCTCTTGAGAGCCTCTAGTTTGAGTTGTTGCCCCTGAAATATACATTTTTTTTAAATTTGAAAATTATTTTTTTGCCTATAAGAACTAGTTTAGAAAAGTGTTAACTGCAAAAATGATGAACACCACAAGATCTATCTGCTAACCTTTTATTGCCTTGAAATGCTGAGTTCTAGGGTTATTTGCAGTTTTTACTGTTATAAAACTATGGAACGTAAATATGATCAGTAACACAAAGAGTAGCAAAGTATGTGCATATAAAAGTCCTAATTAGCAAACCGGCAACATAGGTGTGCCTCTTGTTATTTTTAATAATGAAAAGACCAAAACAAATTCTGGACAGTTTGAATGGAATGTCTTTTTTTTTTATTTTCATGTTAGTTTTCGTGGGTCAAAATTAGAGGTCTATTGCTTGGAAGCAGCAACCTCGATTTTATACATAGCAAGCTTTATCGAAGTTCATCTAGATAGATGCCCCAGATAATTTCATTTTATTTATACATCATTCTAATATGACGTGCTTCTTTCGCTTTGTAAACAACACCATGATAAAATTCTCGATATATCTATAGTTAGCGCAGACTCAGCGATGTGCATATTGGTGGCTGTTACTATTTACCTCCCACGTAAATCCACATGTATCGTAACCTATGTGCAAACACTATGTCGATTTCGTTGTGTCCAAATTGAAATTAAAAAAGAAACTACAGAACCGTTATTCCTATTATATTGCATAACAAAATAATATAATGCACAAGAGCTTAAAAATGTATAAAATCAAAATAAAATAAAATTCCGCCAAATTTCATGAATGATCTTGGCGCATTAACGTCATGTCATAACATGACGTCATACGAATGAAAACTCTAAAGCTGAATGTTTTCCGTTACGTATACACCCTAAGTTCGGATAATATTGCATTAAAATGGAGTTTTGAGGTAGGTGTTATTTCATTTTCTATTCCATTGCATTATTTGCACATTTGTGGATTTCAGCAAGTCAACATGGCGGCTCACTCCTTAGTCAACTCTGGCTTTGACAGTAAATAGTAGCCAACGAAAAATAAATGTTTTGGTAAAGAATTATGAGAATTGAACGCTTTTTTTCTACTGCTTATTAGAAATAATTCATGCAAGACTTAGATTTATATGAAATTTGTAGCTTTTATCTGACAGGGGGTAAAATAGAACAGCCATACACACGGCAATCCTACGTTTGCTTCTGTTTTTAAATTACTGTATTTGTCCTATTAGAATCGAAACAATTCATGGAAGCCATAGATTTGTTGGACATGTACACATGGCCTGGGCCGTGATATTCGTTAATTTTATCCCTCGCTAACGCTCAGGAAAAAATCGAATATCACAGCCCAGGCCATGTGTAAATGTCCAACAAATCTATGGCTTCCATGAATTATTTCTTAATTTAAAGGGTAAGTAAACTACATTAAGGGCAGATAATTTAATGAAGCTTGGTCATTTTGATGCTGTATCTTGTTTCTATCCCTGTAGTTGAAAAACACGTTTGAGGGTCTGGATCAGGTTAACAGAATAGAGAATAATGAACAAATGGACCAACAAAATAAAAAAATATATCCCTTAAAAAGTTGTGAATTAAGAGAATAATGGCCCAAAATATTAAAGAATACATAAACGAAGATCCCCAATCCAAACCCTCATGTATAGATGACTTTATTGAAATGATATTTTTTATAAATATTTTATATATTTTTGTACATTACAGGGGATGAAGGTATCCTGTACCCACTTCCAGTGTGCTGCTTGGGCATTTGAATATTTACGTGACCATTTTGGATCGTCGAACCTTAGCGTTGATATGTCACATGAAGTCTTAACATTCCAAGTTCATTTGATGCTGGTAAGTATAGTTTGTAGAAGTCACTGAATTTAGAGTTCAGACATATATTATAAACCCAAACATTCCGACTATTTTAGACTTTTGGTGATTGAGTATAAGGTGGAGCTGAATAATAAGAATGAGAATATGAAGCAGAGAGACGTGCCTATAAATAAGGGCTATTGGGGATGCATACATGAGACATCAATCCAACACTACTAATGCACCAAAAATAGACGTAGGTCAAAATATGCTTTTTACAAGTGTCTACACTTTATGATATACTTTAAAATCAGAAATTATTGCAATGATTTTATTAATTTGAAAAATTCAACAGCATCAATTTTGCAATAATAATAACTCGCATTTATAATTTCAGTAGTGACTTTGTTCCACAAACTTTTTGCAATCACATTAAATAGATTCCACATTTTTACCAGTGATCAGTGATTCACAATGATAAATGCACGCATTAATTTCAGAGTTTACAGTCTGTTATGAAGATAAAGTGTAAATCAATTCTGAAGAGAAAATCATTCATCTTTTATATGATAACATGACACTATGATTATGCAATATAACTGCTGAAAAGAAAAATATAATAATGATCGATGTACAAAATTATTGTAAAACAGTGCCTTTTTCATTACAGAAATGAGAGAACATTTAGTCTTTAAAACGTTAAAATGATGAAAATTATGTTCAACCTTAGGGCTATTCCATTGTATGTGGGAGGGTAGGAAGGGAAGTTTAATTATTGAATGTGGGTCATGGGTCTTTTTTCAGTATGCGTCTATTACCATTATGCAAAATTATCTAAAAAATGGTTCTTGGTTGTAGGGATATTTTGAAAGTCCCTTCCTACCCTCCCACATACATGTTAATGAAATAGCCCTTATAGAATGTAGATTTAAAAAATTTAAAACATGATTAAGATTTTAAAAAGATTTTATATTATTTACACATATAGGCACAAGCACAGGAATGTATTTTAGAGAAGTCAATGATAGATAGTAGAAAGAACACTATCACTGCTAAAGTCTCAGCACAAGTTGTGGAATTCTACAGAACTGTGATCAAATCACTTCAGACAGAAAATATGGATGCCATCTTAGGCTCACGCAAGTATAAGGTACATTAACTATGACAGAAACTGCTGTTGAATGGTCAAGGTAGTTTTATTTCTACCATGTCTACTACTACTAGGGCCAATTTAAAAATTTGCCAAATTGTACTTTAACTGATTGAACACGAGACAGTGTTTAATTTATGAATGCGATAGATTTTGCAAATTACTTACTGATATAACTGAGACCTGTCTGAATGAAAGGTTGATATTCACATTTTAAAAATATATTAACACCATATGATACATGTTTTTGCATAATTGTTGAATTTACATATATATCTTTGCATTTAGATAGAAGCATAGCTTCCTATAAATTCCCAAACATTATAATCTGATTAAAAGATAGAAGCATAGCTTCCTATAAATTCCCAAACATTATAATCTGAATAAAAATAGAAGCATAGCTTCCTATAAATTCCCAAACATTATAATTTGAATAAAAATAGAAGCATAACTTCCTATAATTCCCAAACATTATAATCTGAATTATCTTCCTTAAAGGGGCATTAGCTACGAGATATAAACAAAATGAAATATGATTGTTTTTTTGTTCATTCATTAATGAAAGTGAAATAGTGAAATAATAATTTGCTTTTAACAACTAGTTTGGTTCAGTTTTGTCAAAATAAGCAAAGAAACATTGCTAATGAATTATTCACTTGCAAGTAATGTAAAAGAATGTAAACATTGGAAGTGAAACAAAGGTAAACAATTTGGTTAACTGATTCCATCTAGAAAAAACTCATTCTTATACAGGTAAAAATGATTATTACCATATTTTTTCAACCTATAATATGAAATCAAACAGACCTAGCAAAATCCAATTGCACGAGTTCGCAATCTATTTATATCATGTATATCTATGTTTATGTTAAAATGGTTTATATGACCGTCAGCAGTCTTCGGAGGTCACCTCGATAGTTAATTAGATGGCTTCTGGACTAGAATACACATGAAATGCTGATACATACTATTGAGTCTATGCATCTTAATTTGTTTATTTTAGACTTTTTATAATTTGGATATATGCATTTTAGTATGTTACAAGTCGAATGTAAGAATTTGAGTCAAATCGGTGAACATGAATTTGACAGCTAATGTCCCTTTAACAAAAAGACTGTGTTGCAGTCTGAATGTCAATGTGAATAATATTACATGAGTATATGTTTCAGTAAAACTCTTTAATTGATCCACCTTACCAAGGGAAGCTAGGAAATTTTTTTTTTTTAAAGTATAAAAAACAAATCTTTTATTTTGTAGGACTGGAAAAAGAGAGCAGAACTGAAGATTTTATTTTACGAAGTTATCACAAATTATTACATGGGGAGAAATTCTGAAGAACAGGAAAAGTTTGGAGAATGTGTGGCTTACTATACACTATCCTATGATAAACTGAAGGAAGCTATTAAAATGGCTAAGGTATGGTCATATTCAACAATGAAGTAAATGAGACTACTATTCATCAGAGTCCAAATAAGGTGAATGTTAGCAACTATAGGTCAACTGTACCACCTTCAACAATGAGCAAAACTGTATAGTTAGCTATTAAAAAACAAAGTTTTTTGACAAAACAATATTCGATAAACAAATATGACAGACAGCAACTAATTGCGACCACTGAACTATAGTCGCTGTGCCTGCTTAATAAAAAGTAGTATTATGACTGATACAAAATAAAGTGAAAATTCTTGAAATATCATTGCTGTGTATTTACAAAGGAATGAATAGAAGAAAAGTAAACTGAAAACATAGAAATTTTTTTTACATATGAAATATTACTAAAAATATGTTTTAATAGAACAGATTTAACTTCAGTCGACTCTCGTTATCTCGAAGTCAGCTGGAACCAGAATAATGTTGTAATAACATTTTATGTTTTCGTCTCTTATGTATTTCTTTGTAAAATTACAATTTTTTCCTGTTGTTTTCAGCTGAGAGAGTAATTTCCAATCGATCTTAGTGTTATTTAAAGTTGACAAAATTGTTCATTCTCGTATGCAAGAGATTTTAGAAAATTTAGATTTTTTTTCATTGTCTTTATTTCAATCTTTTTCTGCAAGCGAAAATACAAAAAGATTAAAGACGTTGATTGAGTAGTTTTGAGTTGATGACCAACAGAAGTCTTAATCCCTACTTTATACACAACCAAGCTCATCAGTGTATGTTTATGGTGAATTTTTTTAAAGCATTTTAAATAATGTTTCATAAACTATAACAGTGTATAAACTAATTATTTATCATGGTGATCAAAGATAATCTTAGGTAAACACTTGTGGAAAAAGATATCATAAATCAATACAGTGGTCAGTGACCTGAAACTTAATTACACGTGTATTGTCAGTTTAACTCTTCAATCCATTTAAATCCCTATGGTCATGTTTTGACATATGTGTATTAGTTCAAGATAAACAATGCATTTTGAATGCTTTTGTTAACCTTGGGACTGTAAATTTAGTTCGAGTCAACTGAAATTTTGACTCATCCAATTTCGACTCATCAGGAGTGGAATTACATATGGTTATGTAGAACAAAATTTGGGACCACGAGAAACCTTCGACTGATCCGAAGTTTCTAGTCAACCGAGTTCAAGACAACAAGAGTTAACTGTATTATATATATTTTTAGAGTGAGTCATCTGATATCCAAGAGTCTTTGAGATTTACAAATGATGTTGTTGGTGGCAAGTAAGTATTTTAAAATTGAATACATAATTTATGGTGACCTATACAAATACCAATTTGTGTTTGTCTTTTTGAATATTTATATATAATGAAAATGTATGACTGTCATGACTGTCTAAAACTAACAGCTAAACATTGATAAGTTAAAAAAGATTGAAATGAAATTTACATTAAAATTTACTAAAAGCTGGAAAGAACAAAACAAACAGGTATACAAAAACAAAAACAAAATTGAAAAAAGGGATTATCTACAGAAAAATCTGATACCTTTGTTCAAGCTGTGGTGCCTTCACTATTATGTGAAATAGTTGAGGTTGTCTCACAGAGTGATACTTTGGCCTGTTTATGATTCATAATTGCTTAAATAGTAGAATTGAAAATCTTCTATTTGAACAAAACATATGTATTGTTTATTGTGATTCTAAGTCTATATATACACACCTGGTATCCCCATCCAAAATCCTCTGAGGGATCAGAATCCCGAGGAGCAATTTACACTTTGTTTATTGCAATTCTAAGTAAAACCTGGTTCTGATTGCCACAGTGAATTGTGAATCTGATCCAGATATTAATTACCCACCTTGTTGTGGTCTCGTGTAATTGTTCCTCGGGATTTGGATCCCTATGCAGATTTGGGATTGGTATACTCTGTCTGATATATCAAAAGTTATAATCTATAATGGAATGTTTAATTAATTTGCATGTTATCTTCATTGTAATTTTGTAGGTTCCAGTCTGCAAAGAAAGACAATGATTATGTATACCATGAAAAAATTCCTGCAGGAGACACACTTCCAGAGGTTAAAGGTAAGTTCAAAGTATGAAGGTCATTGCCCAAGATTGTATTATTTTTTCTCACAAAAGTAGAAAATCCTATTTCTAAGAATAAGCAGGGTGGGTAGTTAAAAGTCCTTTCACAGTATGTGAGTTGTGTCTGATAGAAATCGACTTTATGCAAGTTGATGTATACATGTACATGTATCAGACTTTGATTGGTTTTGAAACATTCAGATACAAAATACACGATGAAGTAATGTCTTATTTGGAAAGATTGGAACTATTGTTTCCAGTCTTGCCTAAGGCACCGGCCTCCCTTACAAGAAGTAGCACAGGTTAGCTACTAAATCTACAAAATGTATACACACTGAAGTATAGTTCCCTATGATTCTCCAGGGACGATTCCACTATATAGTTTAGAGCCCTTAAATCGGTCGGCGGCCCCAAAAAAATGTATGTGAATATAAATTCTCAATTCAGGAAAAATAAAATAAAAATCGATAATTTTGGAAATGTTTCCGTCACCGATTTAGGCAACTTTAATTTTTCATAGTTTGTTGTCAAAACGTATTAAAATCCGGATAAGAATGCTGTCAACGATCGTATTTTTGTCGAGCCTGCGACTTATGTCGCAAAAGCGAGACATAACGATCCTACATTCCGTCGGTGTCGTCGGCGGCGGCGTCCACAAATATTCACTCTGTTGTTAAAGTTTTTGAAATTTTAATAACTTTCTTAAACTATCCTGCATTTCAACCAAACTTGGACAGAAGCTTGTTTATGATCATAAGATAGTATCCAGAAGTAAATTTTGTAAAAAATAATCCTGTTTATCCGTATTTTACTCATAACTGGACTTAGTTTTTCTGCAAGTTAACATTACATTCACTCTGTGGTTAAAGTTTTTCAAATTTTAATAACTTTCTTAAACTATCCTGGATTTGTACCAAACTTGGACAGAAGCTTGTTTGTGATCATAAGATAGTATTCAAAAGTAAATTTTGTTAAAAAAAAAATCCTGTTTATCCATATTTTACTTATAAATGGACTTAGTTTTTCTTCCAGTTAACATTTCATTCACTCTGTGAAACTTTCAAATTTTTATAACTTTCTTAAACTATCCTGGATTTGTACCAAACTTGGACAGAAGCTTGTTTATGATCAAAAGCTAGTATCTAGAAGGAAATTTTGTAAAAATCTATTTCCTGTTATTCCGTATATAACTTATAAAAGTGATTTAGTTTTATTCCAGTTAACATTACGAACAGTTTGCAGTAATGTTTTTAAAACATTTATTAGATTCATAAACCTTCTTGGATTTTTACCAAACTTGAACAGAACTTATTACAATCAAAAGATAGTATCTAGAGGAAAATTTTTAATAATTTTCTCCCCATTTTTGTTGAGCCTGCGACTAACAGCAAAAGTAGGCCAGACACTGGGTTCCGCGGAACCCTTACGAATTTTATTAACAACGATTACATTATGTCAACATGTGGTAAACAATTTTAGCAGCCGGATTCAATTGATGAAAATGTTACGGGAGTATTGATCTTGTAAAAGCAGATCGCCCAGCAGGTCGATAAAAGGATGCTTTTTGTCAAAATGGGTGTCAATAAAGCAGACCTCAGCAGAGAGCAAAATTCAAATTTTGATATAACATTGATGAATAAATGTTAATGGGCGCCGATCTCATAAAAGGAGATCGCCCAGCAGAGCCGGTTATATAATATGATGAAAACTTGATTTGTAAAAGAAATTATTTTATATTTTGTCAGGCTCTATTTCCTCAAAAGACAAAAGTTTGAGCGTTTTTGAAAATACATGTGGATGATAGATCATTCATGAAATACGATGTCAACATTATGGAACTGTTTCAAAAGTTGTGAAGATGATCCAAATAATATTAAAATACAATGGTTCAATGCTTTAATTTCCTGTTTCTTAGGGTGACACCTTAAGTAAAACTATGGCAACCTTCTACATATTAAACAGCAAGCAAAAATCACAAAATATCTTATCAACTAAGTATATAAACTTTTGTAATTGCTTTTCTGAATTTGACAATTGGCCAGTTCAATTTGAAATCCATTTGAATCAAGGTAAATTTATAAAGATGACCTGTTGTTGAAAAAAATACCCAATGGATGATTTTTTTCAGTGGTTTATGTTAGCTAATATATATATGTTATTGTAAAAGGCCTAGGTTACCATAGCTAAGATGCAAGCCTACAAAAGATGGTGCATCATGTGCAATGATCTTCATGTAACAACTTCCTTGATCTCAATCCAATAATTGTCAAGTGATCTGGTAATCATATATATCATAATCAGTAGCCCATATTATTCAAAATGTTACAACTTCTAACATCAGTGTACAGGTGAAACTTAATATACATTTTCAGTTCTTACAGAAAAATAATGTTATTTCGTCTTAGATTTTATGCATAAAAAATTCCCAATTGGGATAAAAATTCCCAATTTGATGGTCAAGGGACCCATTTGAAAACACCTGGAATCATCCCTATTCTCATGTCTGTGTACATATGAACTGTGAAAATTTGGGTTATATTTTTATATCTTTTCATTCAAGTATGTATGTCTTTAAGGTTTGCCAATGTGCAGGCTATTTTTGTCATTAGGTAAGAGTAATGATACAATACCAGTATGATTGACACCTGTCATAATCACCAAACAATCAGATACAAGGTGGGGCCTGAACTACAAGGCACAACTCCTTAAATGCCAATCATATTGACCACATTACTAATCAACCCCTGACAGACTTACATAATTAAAAAGACCCTTCATTATACATCTCGATACACAAATACTTTACCTCATAATTGAATACACAAATGTATAGATAACATGTTTGATATATATATATATAGAAATGATAGATTTATTCGTTGCCTATTACTTTTGATCTACACTACAGGTTGCACTTTTTAAATACGGCTGTTTCACAAACCTTGCCTCTTTTGGGGATATAATATTCATAGATATTTTGTTTTGTTTACGTACTGGTTCCCAGATATGATCTCTATGTTTCATCTCATAGAGACATAACTTGGGAATACTACCAGTATATATACACATGGTTGCAGGGAATTTTGAATTTTGACCTTTGAATAAAATAGTAGTGCACATTAACTTTCCATTCTAGGATATAATTTTTCACGAAACTTCATAGTAAAAGTGGCACAGTTTTAGCTGTAAAGGGAGTTCCTATGGGAAATTGCATTATCTATTACAGAAATGTAACCTACATAAAGGGATTCTGTAAATTAAGTCTAAAAGATAAATGAATAATTACAGATTTTTCAAAAGAAAATACAAAATATAAAATCTAAATAATTTATAAAAAAGGTATTTAAGTAAGGTCTATAATTTTACTTGATAAATCTATGCAATACTCATCAATAATTTAGGTTAGTACCCTTATCAGTGATATGCTTGATACAGTAAGTAAAATTTTTAAAACCTTAATTATATACTGCAAGCAAACCAATATTTTTGTGGGAAAGACGGCTTCAAGCCGTCAATTCCCTATTTGGTTGGCCAGACTTCCAAGCTTCTCACGTCAATCATTTTTTTTTTTTATAGTTGGGAAAACACCTCAAAATTTCATACTGAATTGATAAGAAGGAGACACACAAATGAACAGATTGACTTTAAACACTTTTTTACACATTTCCCTTCTGTTTCTAGTGAAATAATTGTATCTTGAGCTCTCCCTTACACAATTTACATTTCTTTTACAATCCGGAAAAATCAGTATTACGAAATATTCTAAATATATCCAACCTAGTGACGTCATGGTTGGAATTCCACACTACGGATAGAAGAAGGGATATCCTTTACTCATTATTAAAATCATTCACAGATTTCTATACGATTTTAAAATTGGTATTTGTTTATTTAAACATAATTATATTTGCTGTAGATGATTCCAACATCAATGCTTTAATTTGTAGGTCAACTTTCGCGGTAAACAATGGGGATACATGAGATTGGGGAGAGAAATGACAGTTTTCATTCTTTCTGTAACTGTATTGAGAATCTTCCGCCAATACAGGAGCACCTCAATTGATGAGTAATTATCCACCAAAATAAAAGTTAATGTATCTGAACACTTAAAATGTGACATTTATTATATGATAAGTAGTCTTCCATTTAAACAAAATGTTGTGTACCAGCATAATGGTAAAAAAATTATAAAATTTTCAAATGTTGCTTTTTGTAGTTTAAACATATTTATTCATGAAATTTGCATATATCAAAATGTAGGATCTTGAAACAAGCTGTACACAGCTTATATCAATCTGATAGATTTTTGTAAGTACATGTATCCCTGTGATGAGAGTTGTAACTGGGAACTTTATCAATGGAATTTTAAAACTGAATAGACTTTTCAGTCCTCACTTTCTTGAGAAAGTTGTAATCAATTAAAAATCTTAGAGCACTGTCACAAAAAATGGAGAATGACCCTAGCCTGCAGTTCAGTGGTACACAAAAAAAAATTAAAATATATATTGTAGAAGTTATTAAATGATAGAATTCAATTGAATTTTATATAATTAACTTTCAACTTTAATCAAATGTTTTGATTTAGAAGGTGCCGATCTCTTCCATTTGTCCAAGTTGACTCCATGATGAATTCTTGACAAAGGAAATGAAATTACATTAAACAACAATTAATTTCAATATCGTCAACCTTTCTACATGTTCTAGCTGTTCTTTTGCTCATTCTTTGTATGAAGACTATCAAAAGATACCCCAAAAAATAGAAACAATGGCCGTCTTTTCCCTCAGAGCTCTTAAGCTCTTTGATTTAAGTTTATTCCCCATCAAATATCTGTTAACAATTTTAGTCATTTGAATACAAGAAGTGTATTTTTTTGCAATTAAGAATGAATCCCCATTTCAATAAAATAAGTTTTTTAATTTGTTGATTTTGAAATGACCTTTTCTGGAAAATTTTAAATTATAAATTGAATCAAAATTCACTCTACAACTTTTAATTTTCAGTGTTACATAATCCTGATAATTGTTTTCAAAATAAATAAGAATTAATTCTTAGAGGAGAAAAATAGTATACCTATGTTTCAACTTACAAAATACCCCAAAACAAGCTTTTTAGATTTTTTTTTTTTTTGAGACAATAAAGTTCTGAGCTTCCAGTCTATATGTTTGTCCCATGTCCTACAAGGATAATTGATAAACTTTATTAGAAGAATCTTTGTTTTGTAATTTCTTCTGTTTCAAAAGATAAAACGTAAAAGGTGAAACATGTAACAGGGAACATTATTTGGTTAAGATATAAACTGCAATTTAAACCGAATTGTTGTGCAGATTAGGGCACTTGCTATCAGTGATTCACATTTAGCTCTTTTTATCTACTTAAAAAGTGCTTATCCTTCTAAAGACCTGCAGTTAATATTATTATCAGCAATAGTGCTATATTAATGTTCTTTTTTGTCCACACCATACCTAGATATAATTTGAAATTATTTAAACTACTCTTCCAATCTTTCCATGAGTGATTTCCATCACTTTGATTATAATAACTCAGCAGTTACAGACTGTATAGAACATTTTTCAACCCAAAAAATGTTAACAGATGTATTAATATTCATTTGCATACAGTCAATTTCTATATGACGCAGTTAATGAATGCATGTATAACATTGGAGACTTGTTATACACTTTGAGATTTCAACAAGAAAGAAATTGATAAATTTTCTGCCGTACATTTTCTTTACTACCAATGAAAAGCCAGTTCTCAAGAAAATCTTCCATAAAACTGTAAAGTTCCATGATATTTTGGACCTCTGTTCAGTTCTTTTATTAGAAAGTTTGTTGTCATATTGTGTAGAAAATTAAAATCATAGAATATGAAGAAAGATTTTTGATCTAGTGATAGCAATTAGGTAAATCAAAAATAATATTAAAATTGAGAATGGAAATGGGGAATATGTCAAAGAGACAACAACACGACCAAAGAGCAGATAACAGCCGAAGGCCACCAATGGGTCTTCAACGCAGCGAGAAAATCTCGCACCCAGAGGTGGGCCTCAGCTGGCCTCTAAATAAAAATGTGTACTAGTTCATTGAAATTGGACGTCATACTAAACTCCAAAACATATAAATGAACTAAAATTAAAAAAAACATACAAGACTAACAAAGGCCAGAGGCTCCTGACTTGGGACAGGCGCAAAAATGTGGCGGGGTTAAACATGTTTTATGAGATCTCAACCCTCCCCTATTCCTCTAGCCAATGTAGAATAAAGAAACACACAGCAATACGCACAGTAAAACCCAGTTCAAAAAAAGTCCAAGTCCGATGTCAGAATAGGTAACAAAAGAAACTAAGCAAAATGACAATGATACATAAATTAACAAAGGACTACTAGCAGTTACTGACATGCCAGCTCCAGACCTCAATTAAACTGATTGAAAGATTATGTCTTCATCATATGAGAATCAAGCACAATCCCTCCCGTTAGGGGTTTAGTATCATACCATTGTAAATTATATGAGAAGAACACTTATACATACTTATAATTCCAGGTGCATCATTGGTAAAAGGTATACCATTCAACTGGAATGATCCTGAAGTATCTGGAACTGATATATTCCAGAAACTGGTTCCCATGTCTGCACATGAAGCATCTTCTATGTACAGGTGAGTTAACCATAGGGAGTGGAACTGTATGAATTGAAATAAGATTTGATAACATTTGAAAGTTCAAATGGTAGGCCACAAATTTAAATGTTCAAAGAAAAACAAATTTTCTATAGACATGCATGAAGACTCTTGCAAAACAGTGAATTTCAAAAATACACTTTTTCCCTAATCATTGTGAATCCACAAACAATTTAAACAATGATAATAAATAAATCCACGACAGTAACAGAAACAATAGTTTTACTGAATAAGAAATATCATTCAAATTTTTAAAACTATTTACAGGATTAAAGGAATTTTGAAAATTGCTCACATGGAAAATAAATATGCGAGGAATACATCAGTGAAGCAATAACTCAACAACTCATTATAAACATGAACCCAAAAAATGTAGAGGTTAACATGCAGATTTTAACATGATAAAGGTCAAGCTCTAAATCACACTGGACAAGATGTATTGTTACTAACTTTATAATATATGGTACAGAGAAAACAAAATTTTGGCGGACACAAATTTTTATGTTTTCATGATAAAAATTGTGTAGAGGAAATATTTTATGGTTTTGAATAACAAATTCAAATAGTTTCATAAATTAATTTGAATTATCAACGATAGAGAAATATTCAAAACAATTTTTCCCAATTTCTCCTTACAAATGTAATTTACATGAGAGAATATGTTCATGATTTGATAAAAAAAAAATTCTGCAGGACTTTCAAAGTGTCAGGGATTGAAGGGTAACTCCCCACATGATATTTTTTCTATAGGTATTTAAATAAGGGAGAACAATGGAGAAAGGCAAATACAATTCTGTTGCAAATGCAAATAAAAATTATTGGTGATACGTTATACAAAAAGGTGTTGTCCAACCTCCTAATATATTTTTTCCTTCAAAAGCCCTTATTAGAGTCAAGAAAACTGTTTCTTGAAAAAAACATCTGTAGCTAAAAAATTGATATAGGCTAAATATACTTTTTTTTATCACAGCGAAGAAAAGGCTAAGTTAATGAGAACAGTTGGAGCAGAAATAGAGGAGAAAAATGTTGCTTTATTGTAAGTATTAAAATGATGTTTAGAATGGACATTTAAAGTTAATACATTTATATCTCTGTTATTTTTATACGACCGCAAAAAAATTTTTGTGGTCGTATATTGGTATGACGTTGGCGGCGTCGTCGTCGTCGTCTGGCGTCGTGCGTCGTCCGGCGTCGTCCGAAGACACATTGGTTTTCGCACTCTAACTTTAGTTTAAGTGAATGGATCTCTATGAAATTTTACCATTAGGTTCAATACCACAAAAGGAAGGTTGGGATTGATTTTGGGGGTTATGGTACCAACAGTAAAGGAATTAGGGGCCAAAAAGGGGCCAAAAATAAGCATTTTTGTAACTTCCAGACATAACTTGTGTGTTAGTGTATGGATCTCTCTGACATTGTACCACAAGGTTCCATATCACAAAAGGAATGCTGGGATTGATTTTGGGGGTAATTGCCTCAAAATTATAGAAATTAGGGGCCAAAAAAGGGGCAAAAAACAAGCATTTTTCTAGTTTCATGACAATAACTTGTGTGTAAGTATATGGATCTTTCTGAAATTGTACTACAAGGTTCCATATCACAAAGGGAAAGCTGGAATTGAGTTTGGGGGTAATTGCCGAAACGTTTAGGAATTGGGGGCCAAAAAGGGGCAAAAAATAAGCATTTTTCTAGTTTCCAGACAATAACTTGTGTTCAAGTGTATGGATCTCTCTGAAATTGTACTGCAAGGTACCATACCACAAAGGGAAGGCTGGGATTGATGATGGGGGTAATTGCCTCAATATTTTAGGAATTAGGGGCCAAAAAGGGGCAAAAAACAAGCATTTTTCTAGTTTCAGGACAATAACTTGTGTGTAAGTGTATGGATCTTTCTGAAATTGTACTACAAGGTTCCATATCACAAAGGGAAAGCTGGGTTTGAGTTTGGGGGTAATTGCCCTAAACGTTTAGGAATTTGGGGCCAAAAAGGGGCCAAAAAACACATTTTTCTAGTTTCCAGACAATTACTTGTGTTCAAGTGTATGGATCTCTCTGAAATTGTACTGCAAGGTACCATACCACAAAGGGAAGGTGAGGATTAAGTTTGGGGGTGATAAATCATAAGGGGGTTCAAAAAATTTGGGGGTGGATTTTTTTTTTTTTTCCTTTTTTTTTTCTTTTAAAATTTTCCATTTTAAGTTGGTTATTTCTGATTTATATTTAAAAGCAAATAATAATGATATGGTAGGAGATACACACCAAACAGGATGTGTAAATTATTATATAATTAGTATTGTGCAATAGCAAGAAATTTTCAATTGCACAGTATTGCACAATAGCAAGAAATCTTCAATTGCACAGTATTGCACAATAGCAAGAAATCTTCAATTGCACAGTATTGCGCAATAGCAAGAAATATCCAATAGCACAATATTGCACAATAGCAAGAAATTGTCAATTGTACAGTATTGCGCAATAGCAAGAAATATTTAATTGCACAGTATTGTGCAAAAGAAGATACTTCGTATAAATTGCTTATTTCTTGACCAATTTCAATGGGGTTTTATTCTTGAATTCTTGGGGTTCTTTAATATGCTGAATCTAACCGTGTATTTAGTTTTTGGATTTTGGGCCCCGTTTTTAAATTGGTCCACATTGAGGTCTAAAGGGTCCAAAATTAAACTTTGTTTGATTTCATCAAAAATTGAATTATTTGGGTTCTTTGATATGCCAAATCTAACCGTGTATTTAGATTCTTAATTTTTGGTTCCGTTTTCAAATTGGTCTACATTAAGGTCCAAAGGGTCCAAAATAAAACTTAGTTTGATTTTAACAAAATTGAATTCTTAGGGTTCTTTGATATGCTGAATCTAAACATGTATTTAGATTCTTGATTATGGGCCCAGTTTTCAAGTTGGTCCAAATCAGGGTCCAAAATTAAACTTTGTTTGATTTCAACAAAAATTGAATATATGGGGTTCTTTGATATGCTGAATCTAACCATGTATTTAGATTTTTGATTTTTGGGCCCCGTTATCAACTTTGTCCACATTGAGGTCAAAAGGGTCCAAAATTAAACTTTGTTTGATTTCATCAAAAATTGAATTCTTGGGGTTCTTTGATATGCTGAATCTAACCATGTATTTAGATTTTGGATATTAGACCATAATAGGTGAATGTCCAATTTAAAATTTTTAAGTTCTTAGACCACATTCATTCTGTGTCAGAAACCTATGCTGTGTCAAATATTTAATCACAATCCAAATGCAAAGCTGTATCAAGCTTGAATGTTGTGTCCATACTTGCCCCAACTGTTCAGGGTTCGACCTCTGCGGTCGTATCAAGCTACACCCTGCGGAGCATTTTATTTACTACTGCAATTCTCTTATATGATACAAAACAATTTTAAAATGTTGCTTTATTGTAAGTATTAAAATGATGTTTAAAATGGACATTTAAAGTAAATACATTTATATCTCTGTTATCTTTGACTACTGCAATTTTCTTATATGATCAGTCAGAGATATAACTCTATAGGGTTATTACAGAAAATAACTTGTGTGTGTTATTACAGATACTTTCATGAGTTGTCTACTCTTTATTCCTTAAATTTTCAAAATCTGCAATAACATATGTTTGTTATTTGTAAAATAAATCAAAAATATTTTAATTTATAATGGGCTCCAGGGAACTCTTGAGACTTTGCGCAGAAACTAAATGCATAGCCTTGATAATTAATTTTCTAATTAAATTAATACATTTTTGATTAACCATGGTAAATCAATGAAACGAGGCTTTTAAGGGATAAAATTAGCTGTAATAACATAGCTTAGTTATTAAAGGAATGTAACCTATTATATGAGACACTTGGGAATTACTGGGAAGCTTGCGCAGAACCTCATTACATGCTCTGGTCATTATGTCTTACAATAAATTAGAATACATTGTAATTAAGCATGATGTATGTCTGAGAAAATGTTTTGGAGTGATATAGAAAAGCTGTGATAACACCCTTTAGTTATTACAGGCATATTTTTTCTGTAATAACATATACAGCTGATATAGGTGTACTATTCAAAATTGGCAAACTATGAACTGTTATATCTTTCTATAGTTAAGTATAAATAAACATGATAAAGACAATAGTAATATCAATAGAACTTGTATACATTTTAACTAAACTAGTGATGTATATTGTCCCTTTGAAACATGTAACATACAAATGTTATCACAGTTCTTTGATTTTTTAGTCCACAATAACAAATGTATGTTATTTTTCTGTAATAACCCTATAGAGTTATATCCCTGACTGATGATACAAAACAGTTTTTATTTATAATAATTAGGTCACCATGACCTACAGTTTGTATTTCAGTAATTCTCATATTTTTATTCATAAATACATCCGTAATGAACTAAGATACTAATAAGTTTAAAAGATGAGTCTAATACTTCTTGTTAGAAACTCCTAGCTGTTTAAAAACCTTACTAAACACTTCATTTTAAATCTGTGACAATCATTTTTGCTGATAGGCAGTTCATGTCATCTTTGAACCTTGATCCCTCTAAACTGAACTTTGAACCAGAGAGACTACCACAAGATTTGCTTGAGAAGTGTGCTGCTGTTAGCGTTAGACCAAATGCTATAAAAGATCTGGTGGATGCCATGGGAGGTAGTATACTGTTAACCAATTAATATTCACGATCAATTTATTTTTACGACTTTTAAGAGTAGAAAAGAACAAAAATATGTAAAACTTGGATATTATCTTTTATGCATACACCAACAAATTTAGATAATAACCAAAATACATTTACCTGAAATCAACTGAAAAAGGTTGAAAGTGAAAAAAAAGTATCCAAAAAATTAATTGGTTTACTGTAATAACAACATATCTTAATTGAGATTGAAGTTTGGCAAGGTACACTTATCCAATTTTCAGCTTCAAATTTGTTCAAATCTAAAACATACACATATATTGGATTCCTTGTTTGCAATACAACAACTTTACAATATGAAAAAACTATAATAACGATCAATGACTGTTTTCTATATTAACATCATTAAGCTCTGATTTTAAAACTGATTTTAAATTTTGTATTAATCTAGTAAATCATGTGAATCAAATTGATGGTCATTAAACAAAACAGGTTATAAAAAAATGTGAACTGCCATTGAATATGGAAATAAGATGAGCACATTTTTATTAAGTTACAATACCTCTCAGTAATAATAAATATTGTTTTTAATCTTATGTAAGGTAACTTAAAGAAAATATGCTTTCCTTGATTTGAGTGAGAATTTTTTAACCTTTGCCAACAACAAGGCATTGTTTTATATGAGTGAAAGAGGATAGTGTGTGCGTGTGTGACTGTGTTCATCTGTGAGCAAACAACCTAACAAATCAAAGCTAGATAAAGAAAACATTTAGATGTCAACATATGGTATTTCAGTAATGCCATGAGTCCATACCATATGACAAGTTCTAAAATTGCTCAATGCAGACAGCGGGTAGCATGGGGTGTCAACCTGAATTCCTGGAAAATTAAAGAATCTTGAAAAATAAATTATTTATTCCTGAGTCCCGATAAGTGTAAATCTTAAATTCCTGCAAATATAAAGGCCCAATCCTGAGGTCCTGAATTTTGATTTAAAAAATATTACTCAAGAGCTGACATCAACACCAAATTTATAAATGGACAAATAAATATATAAAAAAATTCTTGATAAGAAAAGGCATATTCATAGGAACATATTTAAATTTCAGCTGTATCTAACACTGCTACAGATGTTGAGCTGGCTATACAGGAAATAAATGATTTGATTGAAAATGATATAAAGGAAGATGAAGAGTTTCAGGTATTATAATAAGGGAATGTCTCACAATACCAAGAGTTTCAGATATTATAATTCAGGACTGTCTCAAAATATCAGAAGTTTCAGATATTATAATTCAGGACTGTCTCAAATATATAGAGTTTTAGGTATTATGATTAGAGACATTCTCAAAATACCAAGTGCTTCAATTATTATGATTAGGGACTATCTCAAAATAATAAAGAGTTTCAGGTATTGTGATTATATTTATATCAAATTATGAAGAGTCTTAGGCATTAAGGATACAGGACTGTCTCAAAATGTAAAGAATTTCAGATATAAGAAAAAAAGACTGCCTCAAAGTTACTAGAGTTTCAGGAAATATGATCATGGATTATCCCATAATATCAAGAGCTTAAGGTATAATAATTAGGAGATGTCTAAAATTATCAAGAGTTTTAGGTATTTTATATGAGGTGTTTAAGAATACTAAGAGTTTCAGGTATTATGATTAGGGAATTTCTTAAATAATCATGATGTTAGAACAGATATGAAAGGAAATATATCACTGAGGCAGCAAACTAACAACACAGTAATGTTTAAATTAGACTTCCAGAGTTTGACATGCAGTCATCAGTACGATAATAAACTAGTTTCTCTACCAAATGTCAATTTCTAAATATTCTTATTGTAATCATATTGCTATCACTCATTGTTTAAATTAAAGAATGGGAATGTTGCATATTTCTTTCACATTAAAAGGGAACTTATAGAAACAAAAAAGTACTGCCATCAACATTTTGAGACATTTTCTGAAAAAAACATCAACTACAACTTTTCTCACTTCCAATAGAAGTGGAGTTTCCAACATGTGCTTGTTTTTTTAATTTCTGTATATTGCAACTTTTGTGTTTGTATCCAAAGTTCCTCTTAAAGCAGGACTGGAGGTCAGTGAAAATTTACAGAATCTAATTGCTTGTTTTATTATCAAAATGGTTTTTCTGGGTTTTCCATAACAAAACATTGTTTTTACCATATCTGACAGATTTCATAGTTTCATCTTTCTCTGAAGATTTCTTTTTTTTTTTTAATAATATTCCTTCCACTGTTTCAAAATTTCATTTATAAACTTGCAAATAACTTCTAAAATAATTCATAAAAATTAGTTGTTTTAAAATTAATGGAATGGTATTAAATTGCAATTATCTTTGCTTTTAAGAAACAGTTTGGGAAAAGGTCTCAGAATCCTATGCTTCCTGAAATAAAGAAAGACTGTGACCGGTTCCAGGAAGGTCACAAAAAAGGGAACCAGTCAAATGTTGATCTACATAAAGCAATGAATACACACATTACCAATCTAAAGCTTCTTGCTGGTCCCTTAGAAGATATCAAGAATCACCTGCCTTCACTGGAAAGAGACAGAGGTAAGACTGGATAGCAGTTCATACTTTCATTGTTTTGTTTTTTTTATATCATGCATATGGCATGTGAGTTTGTATGTGAAATTAGGGGGTCTCATTGGGGGGGGGGGGGGGGGGGGGGGGGGGGGGGTGTCTTATCCTGGATCCGACTTATTGTTTTGTCAGAATCCTGTATCCGGCTTGTCATTGTAATAATAGTGCTTGTAATTTCACGTGTCCCGCCCGACTTTGTTTCCCGTTTATACACAAAATAATTTGACTTTCATCCTTACAAAAAATCAGCCAATCCTGCATCATGCTTAGACCCCAATGAGACCTACAAATTATTTTGACACTCTGAGGTTAAGAAATAAAATGTAAAAATGTCAGAAAATGGTGCATACAAGTAAAAATTTAAAATTAGAGTTTCATTTTTAGGAAACATTAGGTGTCACATTTTTTCGGGATGATAAAAAGATTGTTAAAATTTTTGAATTTACAGTAATTTAAAAGCTAAAATCTTAATTATTTGAGTAGTTCAAGGTTGTTATAGTAGCTTGGAATTGTAACATATTATCATTTGAATATTTTTTAAAATTGATATTACAAAATACAGTCAGTATTTGAAATGATCAAGATATTATTTATGATATAGTATTGATGTTAAACTTAAACATGAAAAGATGCATATTTACGAACATCCTGGCACTTTCAATTTTTAGGAGGTGAGATCTCTGGGTTTTATCTCCAACTGTATGGGAATTCACAATTTTTAAATCCAATTTAAATAAAATGGTTTAAAGATATCTCAGATATATTTTCTACCCATATCTAATATGATTATGAGATTTGCAAAATTGATCTCAAACAAAATTGTAGTGATTCAACAAAAAAAGAATCGATTTTTAGATATTTATTATTATATATGGTAAAACTTGAGGATTTCCCCCTTTTCAACTTTAAGAAAGTTAAACTTAAAAAGATAAACACAATCTAATAATCTGATCGGTCAATCTTCAGCTGTGACAAAAGCATGAAATTATCTGTAATATTCTAATAATATGCCTCTTTTATTAAATTTTATTATAGATCCAGAGTCAGAAGCTGTTGTTAAAGAGCTTCAAAGGTTACTTGATAAAGTTGATGAAATGAAAAATCAGAGAGCAATGCTAGAGGAACAGTTTAGAAAGCAGGTCAAAGAGGATGATATAACCAATCAGATTGTAGCACAGGATGGTGGTAGTAATACCATGGTGAGTAGTCATAGGTACAGTTTAGAAACCAGATCAAAGAGAACCAATCAGATTGTAGCACAGGATTGGGACTGTAATACTATAGTAAGTAGTCATGGGTACAGTTTAGAAACCAGATCATAAAAACTTTGAACCAATCAGATTGTAGCTCAGGATGGATGCAGTATGCAGGTGTTGAGTAGTCATAGTTATCAGTTTGGAAACCAGATCAAAGAGAACCAATCAGATTATGGCACAGAATATTGCAGTTATACAGGTTGAGTATTCAGCGGTATCAGTCCAGAAACCAAATCAAAGAGAATCTTATCCGATTGTAGCCCATGATTGTGGCAGTAATACTGTGGTGACAAGCTCAGTTCCGGGGCCCTACCAAAGAGGATGAGATAAGCAATGAGATTGAAATACATGATGGTTGTAGAAATAGTAACCACTTTGGTGGCATAGTATTATGAACAGTTAAGAAACCAATTGTTTTACATGTGAAATTCAAAGTTCAAAGATTAAAGATGAAAAAGAGTTATCTGTCTTTGATAAAAAAAAAAATGTAAGTCAAATCCATAAAATTTTAGTACTGCATCTTAAAGACTTCCAAGATCAATCTTTAGTGTATTTTTCCCATGATTTGATTAAGAAATTAGGTTTGCATAGATACTCTGAGATAACTGAACATTACTTAAAACTTTGTTAAAATTATCACACAACTTAATGTTTAATTTGCACTGTGCAGTTGTACATTTTTGTTTTTTTAATATTTTCAGGTAATGTTTGAAGAACAACTTAAAAAACATGACACACAGATAGGTTACATCCACCAGAACTTAGATGCTCAGGATAACATACTTAGAGCTTTAACTGATGTTAATGCCAGATATGCTACTACAAGGAGAGCCACAGCAGATACAATTACAAGGTAAGATGCTCAGGATAACATACTTAGAGCTTTGACTGATGTTAATGCCAGATATGCTACTACAAGGAGAGCCACAGCAGATACAATTACAAGGTAAGATGCTCAGGATAACATACTTAGAGCTTTGACTGATGTTAATGCCAGATATGCTACTACAAGGAGAGCCACAGCAGATACAATTACAAGGTAAGATGCTCAGGATAACATACTTAGAGCTTTGACTGATGTTAATGCCAGATATGCTACTACAAGGAGAGCCACTACAGATACAATTACGAGGTAAGATGAATTTACATGTTTTTGTCCTTTTTGTAGTTTCCTCATGGCAATCATATTTATACCCCCACGCAACAAAGTTGTGTAGGGTATAAAGTTTTTGACCTATCCGTCTGTCCGTCAATCCTGTTCTTGTCATCACAACTCCACTGAAACCACACAACAGAATTTCATGAAACTTTAAAGATAACAAAGTCATAATATGTATATGTGCATATGGACAGGAATTATGATTAACATTTTTTTCTAGGAGTTATGCCCCTTTGATCTCAGAGTTTTGGCTCAAATACACAACAGTTTTGTCATTGCAGCAGCTCTTTAACCATATAACAGAATTTCATGAAACTTTGTAGATAATAAGGCCATACTTTGTAGATGTGCATATCTTCAAGTTATTTTTTATCAATTTACTTTTGTAGGAGTTATGAGTCTTTGAATTTGTTTGTCCTGTGACAATGTGGGGTGTGGGGTATGTGAGCATACTCACAAAGGTTCTTTAAGTAGATATGTTTAAGATTCCCTGTCGTTCAAGTTTGAAGAGGATATTTATGTTTTTGTACATAAAAAAAGAGACGGAAGATACCATAGGAACATTCAAAACTCATAACTCTAGAGAAACTGACAATGCCATGGCAAAAAACAAAAGACATCAAAAGACAAATAAGTTTACAAAACATAACATAGAAAATTAAAGACTGAGGGCAATAGGAACCCCAAAATCTGTTAATTTTTGTTCGTGAAAATTTGCCCAAATCCTGACCTTTTTGTATGGATTTATAAAATCCAAGAGCTTGATTATTTCAGGAGAGAAGCCACCATAGAGGGACTTAAGAATTCATATGATGTTTATGAAGATTTATTAGCGAAGTCACAGAAAGGTTTGGATTTCTATAAGAAGCTTGAATCCAACATCAACAGGTTGTTAGAACGATGTAGAGGAATTTGTAAACAGCAAGCTGAAGAACGACAACAGATTATAGACAGACTCAAACCTAAAGGTAAAACAATATGACAGGAGAAAGTGAAGAAGGGGATTTTTGATTTTCACAAAATTGCAGTACAAAATTTAAGATTCTATTTTTGCAATAAGAAAAACAACAAAACATCTTCATGCTTTCAGTATACGTACAAGTAAGTGCAGCATTTTTTTTTTTCATCTCAGGTTGCACATTCAGAAATATATGTGGTGAATATAGCCTTTGTATGTGGTCAATACAAGATATATCAACCCAAAGAAGTATATTGACCTCAGACTTTGTCCTCAGTCAATATACTTCTTTCAGGTCAATGTATCCTTGTATCAACCTCATACAAAGGCTATAGTTGTATAATATGGTGGACAATCCAGGAAAAGCCATTTTTCATTTGATACACCTCTTTAATACCACAAAGCTAGCGTAAGTAGGCATCACATGTTTAGTTCTTAATGTATAGCATGGTTAATATATAATTAGGAGATGTGGTATGAATGTTAATCAATGAGACAACTATCAACCAGAGACTAAAGGATTAAAAAGTGAACAATGACAGGTCACAGTATGACCTTCAACAATGAATAAAACCTACATATGGAGCTCTTTTTAAATAATGTAAACAACATCACTGTAAAAATTAGGATGTGATATGCTCTAGATCTTTGTGAAAGGATGTCTAGAGGAAAAGCCAAACATGAAAACCAAATGAAGATTATAACTTATTTGTGGTAATGAAATCCCTTTTATGCATTTAACTGATTAAGTTCTTTGAAATCTAGAATGTCACTTTAGACACAGAAGTTTGGAAGTAAGCACATAAGATAGGCCAAAGAAACATCAGGGCTCTCATAAAAAGAAAATTAACAACAGGAAATACTTGACTTCCATGTTAAACAATCCAATTATTTTGTTTTAAAGGCTTAAACTATATTTTGTTTGTTTAAAAATTTCTTCAAGATGGGCAAAAAATAAAGCTCTCTCTCTCTCTCTATATATGCAAACATTAATCATGTTAATGCTCACCATTTTAAAAAATTGTTTTTACTAGGTGTATTGAAATCCATATTTATTTTCATACTTGTACATAAATCATAATTAGAGACAGTCTATACAATAGTTGCTTTTTTTTTCAGAACCACCTGTAAGACCTTCCACACAGAAACCAGCAGAATCCACATCAATGCTCCAAGGTCCAGGCAGTGCCTTACCATATGGTCCTAATGACTTTTCAGTTAGTCCAAGTGGAGTCTTGCCTGGTAGTACATCTGGTCCAATTGGTCCAATGCCCGACTTGCATGCATCCCTGCCAGGGTTTGAAGGACCTAAATTAAAAGATTATCTCCCTTTTATGAAACCTAAAACATTTGGAAAAGGCAGAGTGGCTACTGGATCCCTTCCAAGTAGTTTGATATCATCACCAGTTCATCTTCCTCCTGGGCCGGATAGTTTACCATCTAGTCCATTACATGGCTTGAGTGATGAAGATATTAGAAAACTGGGAATTACAGATCCCAAAGTTTTAGCCATGATAAGAGCTCATTCTTTACCTCCTGTGACTGGGTCAACTCAACAGCCATCAGGAATTAGTGGTTACCAACAGCCACAAGGGGTTGGTGGGTACCAGCAGCCACCAGGGGGCCATGGTTACCAGCATCCATCAGCAGGAGAAGCAGGTCAAACTGGAAGTTATCCATCTCCGTCACAATCGCCAAGTTTACATGGAGGAATGCCGGGTACAGTGAGATTTGATAGATCTACCAAACCAACTGCTTACTCACAAAATCTTGGACCTCATGGTATGTCACAACCACAACAAAGAATGGTCCAACCAAGTGTGCCACAGTCTACAACAGGATATAATATTGGTCAGCCACAATCAGCAATGTCACCAGGTATGCCACAGATGCAAGGTGGCTGTGGTCCAAATGTCAGTTACCCCTCAACTAATAATTTACCACAGATGCCACCTAGTACATCAGCGGGTCAACAGACCCCAGGCCCAAATCAATCATTTGCTAGTCAGGTTGCACCAAACCAGTCTAATTACCAACCAACACAAGGGCAATCTGTTTCCAATCCAGGATATACTACAGGAAATATAGGACAGCAACAGGTTCAGACTGGACAAAGTGTACCTCAAACAAATGTGGTGTCGTCAACAGTACAGCAGGGACCAACTAGTGGTGGGCAACAATCAGGGGGACAATTTGTACCTTCAGGACACCCAGCACAGTCAGGTATGGCTCCACCAGGGTATGGAAATGCTTTACAAGATAGAATGAATCAGATACCATCATCTGGACAACAAAGTTTTATGGCACAGGTATGTTTTTATGTTTGATTGGAATGTTTTATATATATCCATTGAAGGAGAAGGTCATTTAAAATGTAATTATGTTATACCAAAGGGATAATAGACCTGGGTCATATCTCCTTTAATTCTTTGTTTTATCTTACCTGTGACATAAAGGTATTTCTTTTCCAATTGTGTCAGGGTCAGAATAAACAATTTGAACAATACATAGATATCTTATCCTCACTTTCTTTAGGTGAGACCTTTTTGTCCATTTGGTTTCACCTAGTCTTATTAGCTTTTCATGCTCCCATCTTAAGGATAAGTTTTTACAATAGAGCCTGTACCTCTGTAACTTTCTTATAAAATAGGGTATAATATTTTTTACCTGTCCATCTGTCTGTTCGTCAGTCAGTCTGGTTATTGTCAGCGCAACTCCTCTGAAACCACACTACAGAATTTCATGAAACTTTGTAGATAATAACAAAATACTATTTACATGTGTATATGGACAGGATATTATAATTCCATTTTTTTTCTATGAGTTATGCCCCTTTGCACTTAGAATTTTGGCCTTTGTATACTACTGCAACAGTTTGTCATTGCAACTTGTCTGAAACCACAGCTTTAGTAGTGATACAATAGAAAAAATTACAACAAATATGACTCGCGTCGATGGTGGAAAGCAAAGAAGTGCATGAATGAATATTACTTATAAATTAGAACATCTTTATTTACATGAAACAATACTGTCGATTCAATTATTTTCATGGGTACCAATTTTCGTGGATTAAGGAAAACTTACATATTCGTGGATATTTAATTTCGTTGTTCACCTGTACCAACAAAATCCACAAAAATTGGTATCTAATGAATAATAATGAATCCACAGTATCTTGAAATGCTAAAAAACTTATCTACACAAATTTGACAGACACAGCAATATACAACATATTAAGTGAACATTTCATATTTAAAAACACAAAAATAATAGTTAATTTACATTATATAATATAGGAAAGTATTCAACAAGTGAGCAAACAACACATTAATTCACAAATGCATGTATATGTTTTACATGTAGATACACCTTGAGGGCCTTAGCCCGAATTGGTGTATCTAATTTACACAAAGATATTATTGCCAATACAGAATGATAGTTTTCAATAATTTAGGAGGGGTCTTTCAACAATTTTACCATATGTTTTTGAAAAGCATGATTAATGCAGGGTATCCAATTTCATTTAACAACATCTTGGTGTAAATATTTTTATTACATTGACCATGGATATTTTAATGGAAATAAAGTAGAAAATGCAAGGAACTATATCTTTTTCCACACATATTCAAGTCTTGTTGACAATTTTTTGACAACACCATTGTTGTTCCCTGTGCAATGCCTTGCGTTGGACATAGAAATGTTAGTGCTCTCATGAGTACAATTCTTGCCAGGTTTTTATGAAACTTATTTTGAAGGTTTATATCAGCAATGTCTTGGACAAATTCTAAAATCAGTGCCGATCAACTATTTTTAAAAGAGTTATGCCCCTTGGAAACATTTATTATATGGAAAATTGCATCATTAGCGCTCTCATGTGTACAATTCTTGTCAGATTTTTATGAAACTTATATTGTAGGTTCATGTCAGCAAAGACTCAGACGAGTTTGAAAATCAGTGCCAATCAACTTTTTAAAAAAGAGTTATGCCCCTTAACAAAATAAACTATATGGAAAAAAGGAATTATTAAATATATTGGATATTGCTGTCAAGTCTTCATCTCTCTAGTAAGATAGTTTAAAAAAGGTTTAAAGAACAAAAAAAAATTGTTTTAGTTATTGCCCTTGGACAGAACAGATAAAATATGTGCAATGTAGGGGACATTGGAACTCTGTTCTTTTATTTATGAAGCCAGAGGAGTTTGATTTTTTTTTTTAATTTTACTGGAAATCATGGTGTTTCATTGCAATTAATGTAATAAATTTGTTTATTAACTGTTATTATTAATGATAATTGTGAGAATATATATTTTTAGACTAATACAACTACTTACAACCAACCATCTGCACAGAGGTCATCACAGGGACAAGTTCCTTCAACACCAGGGATTCCACCACATCCACAGAATGTTTCTCAACAGTCAACATATAAGCCTCAACAAACAATGACCTCTCAGCCAAGTCAGAGTCAAGGGCAGATATATCAGCAAGGTCAGATGGGTCAAGGTCAAAACCAGCAATCTCAAAACTATCAAGGTAATTTCCCTCCTCAAAGTCAAGGTCAGTTACCACAACAACAGAGTCAACAACAGTGGTTACCAACAGCAGTTCCTGGAACTAATCAATATATCCAATCTGGACAGCAACCTCCCATTCAACATGTCCAGGATCAAAGATTTCAACAGCCAATTGCTAGTCAACAACAAACCCCTGGCCAGCCATCAGGACAGAGATTTCAACAGCCAAATGTTGGTCCACAGCAAATGTTTCAGACATCCCAAAGGTTTCCTCAGGCAAATATTAGTCAAGAACAACAGGTACAAAGATTTCAGCAACCAAATACAAGTCAACAACAAAATCACTTTTATGGACAGCAACCAAGTATTCAACAAGGTCAAGGTGGTCCTCAAAGTTCAGCACAGTATCTGCCTAATCAAGGGCAAAATACTCAAGTGACCTCTCAGACTCAGCCCCCACAGACACAGGTTCAACAACCAAATACAAGTCAACAGCAAAATCAATATTATGGACAGCAACCCAGTAATCAACAAGGTCAAGGTGGTCCTCAAAGTTCAGCGCAGTATCCACATAATCAAGGGCAAAATACTCGAGTGACTTCTCAGACTCCATCCCCACAGACACAGGTTCAACAACCAAATACAAGTCAACAGCAAAATCAATATTATGGACAGCAACCCAGTAATCAACAAGGTCAAGGTGGTCCTCAAAGTTCAGTGCAGTATCCACATAATCAAGGACAGAATACTCGAGTGACCTCTCAGACTCCGCCCCCACAGACACAGGTTCAACAACCAAATGTAAGTCAACAGCAAAATCACTATTATGGACAGCAACCCAGTAATCAACAAGGTCAAGGTGGGCCTGGAAGTTCAGTGCAGTATCCACCAAATCAAGGGCAAAATACTCAAGTGACCTCTCAGACTCCGCCCCAACAGTCAAAGACGTCATCTTCACAGCTAACTCAGTTCTCTCAGCAGCAAAGTAATGCACAACAATTTGGACAACAGCCACAAAACCAACAACAAACTAAACCACAACAGTTTGGACAACAGGCTTTGCAACAACCATATAATGGATATGGGGGTCAGCAAACTACAACATCTGGTAATGCACCTGCACAGATGAGTCAGGCTGGTCAAGGTCAAATGCAATATATGTCCAATCAATCTAGTCAAGGTTACTTAAGAGGTCAACCAGTTCAACCCATGTCAGGACAACTGACACAACCACCATCAAGTCAAGGTTTTGGCAGTCAACAGGGAAATCAGTTGTTAGGACAACAGGTAGCACAAACTACCAATATAGCAAGTACAGGACAACAAATACCAAGACAACAAGGACCACAATTTCATCAAGGTACACAGCCACAAATGCCACAGACTCCATCCACTTATGGTGGATTTGGCCAACAGCCCCAGTTACAACAATCAAGTTCATTGTCCCAAGTTCCTCAACAAATTCCTGCAATGCCACCAGGAATGTCACAGCAGAGTGGATTTATACAACAAGGGCAAACTATGACAACAATCTCCAATGTGATACCACAAAATAAAGGAAGCATTCACCAACAACAAGGTCAGGCCATGACTGCAGTGGCACAGTCAGGTCCACAACCTATTGGGAATAGCCAACAGCAAGGACAGATACAGGTGCGTCAACAGCAATATCATTCCTCAGTGCCACCGACCAGTAATGTGCAATTACAGCCGTCAGTATCCATGACTTCCCAGCACCAAGGGTATCCCACAGTACAACAACAGACAACTAACCAACAGATGCAGGTATGTATATGGAGACAATTGAAATCCAATATTGAAATAAAAATGTAATTCTTTCAATGCAAAATTTCAAAAAGTATAACAGTAGATAAGAAAGATATTGGACAGTACAACAGACCACAACATCAAAAATCCTCCTAAAAAGAAATACACTTACTAGAAAAGAATGCAACAAAGAACAACGCAATGTCAAGATAGCCTGAATTTGATGGAGTTATTCCAATTTTATGTGTGAATAAACCCCTGCCTTTGTTGTCAAAATTAATTTTTGTCATGCTATTTTCAAAAAATATAATGCAAAGCTTGGATCACAGAGCTTTTTTTTTCCAAACTATACAAGATATGCAAATTTGTCAGCTTTTGTAAGGATTATACATTATAATCAAAATAAGTAAATTTACTGTACATTTTTCTATAAAGAAGTTCTGAGTCATCTCCCTTTCTGCTTTAGTTCAAATTATTGCTTGAACAACATTAATGGACTTTTTCAGCAATATTTACAAGCGTTATAGTTTGTATATTTGATATATTGTAGAGACCTCTCTCTGGACAGTCACAAATGTCACAGCCATTAATGCAGAAAGGTGAGTATAAGAAAAATTTATAGACACAATGGCTGTCTTGTTCATGTTACCTGTTACATAAGGCTGTGCCAAAGGCCATTAAGTGTTACCCTTGTCCGTATGTACGTCTGTGCCTACATCTGTCCGTATGTCTGTATGTTCCAAAATTAGTTTCCGTTCTCTAACTTTAGTTTGCCTCAACCAAATTTTATGAAACTGATACACAATGCTTATTACTACAAAACACAGATCAAATTTGGATTGCGTCACTTTTACCGTTCTTGAGTTATGTCCCTTTATAATGTTATACGCAAGCGGGGGCATCATCCCTTGGACAAATTTTCCATTTATTTTAAACAAGAAGGTGTTTCTCAGCTGGAATCTCATCGAAGAAACATCCTCAAGTTTGTGAAAGATCATGGATAATCTGTTTATCACTGTTTCCCTAGATAACGCCAATAATGTAGGCTGATGACATCATTGTGTTTTCACTCTACTCGACAGAGAAAAAACCCATTTTTAGTCGAGTAGCCTGATATGAAAAATTATCACAAAGAAAGATAAAGCAAATTTAAGAAAACAGCAATAATTGTACTCAGATTGTTTAAATATATAGCTGACAACCATGATTTTTACATTGATGCCTGGATAACTAGCCAACTACATTTTATGCCTGGATCAAATGGAAAGTATCTTCACTGTTTGTTGTTTTCTATTTGTTTAGTTTGCTGCTGGTGGTGAATACAGTTTAATGTTTTGATCAATATTTTTTTTTGTCAATTGCTAGCAAATGCCTTCAGAAGAAAATTAAATTACACATATTATTGGAACATATCCTATTTATTCAATTTAAGATGATAACATAAGTCCAAATCATAACATTAATAGCTCTATTACTTCATCAGGGTAAATAAACTCATCATAAATACCAGGATTAAAATTGTGTACACCAGGCCTTGCGGTCATAAAACTTTCAAGCACGATTATCGTACTCAGACAGAAATCAACTAATCAAAATACTGGATTGGATGTTTCGAGCACATAATTTGTACTCTGAGTAAAGTTTTATTTATGACTGAGGGCCCAGATGTTGGTTTTATCTACAAAAGACTCATCAGTGGTGCTCCAAGAGTCCTATCAAAAAAAGTTAAAAAGGCCTAATAAAGTACAAAGTTGAAGAGCAATGAGGACCCAAAATTCTGAAAGGTTTTGCCAAATACAGCTATGGAATAAAATTGAGAATGGAAATGGGGAATATGTCAAAGAGACAACAACCCGACCAAAGAGCAGACAACAGCTGAAGGCCACCAATGGATCTTCAATGCAGCGAGAAAATCCTGCACCCGGAGATGGTCCTCAGCTGGCCCCTAAATAAAATTGTGTACTAGTTCAGTGAAAATAGACGTCACACTAAACTCCAAAACATATAAATTAACTAAAATTAAAAAACATACAAGACTAACAAAGGCCAGAGGCTCCTGACTTGGGACAGACGCAAAAATGTGATGGGGTTAAACATGTTTTCTGAGATCACAACCCTCCCCCTATACCTCTAGCCAATGTATGATAAAGAAACACATAGTAATACGCACAGTAAAAATTCAGTTTAAAAGAAGTCAGAGTCTGATGTCAGAATAGGTAACAAAAGAAACTAAGCAAAATTATAATGATACATAAATGAACAAAGGATTACTAGCAGTTACTGCTATGCCAGCTCCAGAGCTCAATTAAACTGATTGAAAGATTATGTCTTCATCATATGAAAATCGAGTACAATCCCTCCCGTTAGGGGTTTAGTATCATACCATCATAAAATATATGAGAAGAACATAGCCCGTATCATGCCAACAACTGGTTTTAGAATAAATGTGTTTATTTCCTTTTCCTGGGATAGAAAATCCTTAGTATTGGTAAATTATAATTTAACTTTTAACCTTACTTGAACATATGGGTCATGTGAGCTATTGACATCACCTTGTGTCTGTTGCTGTAAACTTTAAAAAATATCTTCTTCAATAGAAAGGTAGAAACAGTAAACAGCAAAATGTTGACAACTGAGTGCTCCAGGCTCTTAGAAGCCTAAGGCTATTGTTTATATTAATTTCAGTTGTAACATCTCCAGTGGTCAATATTACAAGAAAACTGAGTGACATATTATTAGTTGACAGCTTGCTTTAAAATGTTCTTGTAGTAGGAAAATGTTATTAGACTGTATAAAAATATTAAATGAATACATAAATGTCATTCGGAATTTATTTATAATCTTCAACTGTGTTGGCCTTTGTTATATGTGAAATTTTATCCTTGAAATGAATGCACTCTCCTTTTTCATAGGTACACCACAGCCAAGTTATTCATCAACAATACAGCAAATGAACCCACTTTCTCCACCAGATATCTTACCACAACCAATCCTACCAAGCCCAATGAAACCAGTAACAGAGATCCAGTCATCCTTTCAGGAAGTTACTATGGAAACAAAAACGCCATCCATACAAGATGTTACAGAACTAGAAACTACATCGAAGATGGAATTTCATACACGAGCTAGAGAATCTCCAATAATACAAAGAAAACAGGTATATTGTGTGGAAACAAAAAATTTTGTTTCAGATTTATTTGTAAGAGTTGTACTACTATATAGAAACTTGAAGCCATAAGGTGACATGCCAAAATAAATGCACAATACAAAACTCTAGCATTTTGCAAAATAATTTGGTGCCTTCAATTTTTTGATACATATTTCATATAAAACTATGCTTTTTTCCAAAATTAAATTGTTGGATTCTAATGAATTTTGTAACAATAGAATATAACTTGTCACAGGTCTATTTGGTAATATTTTTGTTGTGAGAAGTTCTCATTTTCTGCTGATTTAAACAGAAGTATTATTTTTGTCCAGAAATTTGCTATATATTACATTAATTACAACCAAATTGTAAACAATGATCATACATGTTCATATCAGAAGAAAACAAAAACCACTGAAGACAAATAAACAAATATACTTCAGGCATCTGTGTCTTTCAACATCAGGATTACTGAAGTACAACCACAAAGCCTTCAAAATAATTTTTTGAAAAAAAGACATATTTTTATATGAAATATACAGCAATAACTTGTATTGTTTTATAGTTTCTGTTTAATTTGTTCACACCCTTTTTACACTTTTTAAACAATTTTGAGCTAACCAAAATGAATAAACACTTATCTACTGTTGAAGACTATATATTATCCCTTTAGATGTCTTTCTATACTTTATGTCATTGAGTTGTGGCCCATTGACTTATACCCAACATTTCATTGTATTCATCATGTTCAAATGAACCAGTTTGTTAAGATAACAAGATCTATATCTGTATGTACACCTTGTAAATTTTCAAATGCAGTAGAAAAAAAATTTGCACACATTTATTTGAAATCTATGAAAAGCAGCATTTTTTTAAAGCCAAACATTATGACGAGATATTAAATTCTAAACAGATTGACAAAAATTGAGGGTACATTTGTTCTATTAGAAAAGATGTCGTTATTATCTTAATTTTAGTAAAAATACTTTTTTCTTTCATTTTTCCATGATTGGTGTAAAATTCAACATTGAAATAATTTTGTTTGTATCATTGTAGCCTGAAAAGTCACATTCCAGATCAAATTCCAACACCAGCCAATCAGATTTCAAGTTGTTATCAAGGAAACATTCCTGTTCATCCATTGGTTCATCTCTGGATGATATTTTATCATCAAGTCCTGTAGATTCTACCCATGAACCACCTGACTCAGTTCTAACACCCAAAGTTCTTACAGCACAGGAAATAGCACAGCAGAAAGAGGATGCTATATTGAAAGGAACGCTTGGGAGACAGTTTTCTAAAGACCCATATCCAGATTCATCTAAAATGGATAAATTTGTTGCAGAGACTGAAAAATTAGCCAAGTTTGTTGAAAGTTTGGATAAAGCTACTTGTTCTGGACCTTCACATTTGGATATAGCTTGGAAGGTAAGTAGTCCCCTACCGACTTCAACAAAGTTGAAGGGGACTTTAGGTTTGCACTCTGTCCGTCCGTCTGTCTGTCTGTCTGTCTGTTCTGTCTGTCTGTCTGTCTGTCTGTCTGTCTGTCTGTCTGTCTGTCTGTCTGTCTGCCTGTCTGTCCATCCATCTGTCTGGCAACTCAGTTTTCCACACTTTTTTCTCCTTGCTTGAAGATATTGATTTGTAATTTGGTATATAGAGTTATCATGACAAGTTACAGATCAAGTTCGAATTATGTTCGGGTCTGATGATTTTGTGCAGAGATATGGTCCTTGGACTTAGAAAATTCACTCAAATAATCAGTTTTCACACTTTTTTTTGTCATGAATGAAGATATTGATTTAATAATTGGTATATAGTTTTATCACAAAAAGTTACAGATCAAATTCCAATTTTGTTCCAGTCTGACGATTTTGTGCAGAGTTATGGTCCTTGGACTTAGAAAATTCACTCAAATAATTAGTTTTCCACACTTTTTTTCGTCATCCTTGAAGATATTGACTTTATTTTTGTTATAAAGTTTACATCATGACAAGTTACAGATCAAGTTAGCATTTTGTTCCAGTACAATGAATTCTTAACCGGTAGGGGACTATGTATTGCCATGCAATACTCTCAGAATGCTTTTTCTTTATGTGCTTGCTCAAAGTTGGAGCCTGTAATTCAGCAGTGGTTGTAGTTGGTTGAGGTTTGCCTGATAAAATAAATCAGGTTTTTGATTTTTTTCTTTTGAATTGATTCACACTTTAGCTGTGCCAGGGACTTTTATAACGTGCTATACTGTATGCTTAATGTTGAAAGCCATACAGTGCCCTACAGTTGTTAACGTCCTCATCCTTTGGTCTCTGGTAGATAGTTGTCTCAAAGGTAATCTTACCACATCTCCTTAATTTTATTTCACTGTGAGAAAATAGCTATACTGTTTATTCTTGTTAGCATGTTTGTTCCTTGTAAATTCTTAAATGAAAATGAACCAGCTCAGAAGTCAGTGCTTCAGTATACGTACTGACATGATTTATAACATATTTGTTTTTTAATTCTATGCTTATAGATTAAGAAAATAGATTCCATCTCCCTCAGGCAAAGTTGAGCTTAGATATATTTGGTTATTCTTTTTAGGTCCTTTTTGATCATATACCTCCTTCATGTTTTTCCAGAACTGAAACATCCTTGGATTTCAAATTTTAGGGTTTATGAGTTTCTGATGAAGGTAAATCCAGAAAAAAGGGCTTGGACGCAACTAAGTTTTACATGTATTTTCAATTTATTGAACTTTGGCACACCAGGAAATCTGCTTGTCATTAGGTGCTAAAAACACTATTGGATCTTTTTATCTATTTCAAATTTATCACATTTAGTGTGCAAATTACCCTGAATATGTTGGAATGAGCTCTTTTAATGTTATGCATATAAAGCTGTCATTGGGAAAATTTGGGGGAAAAAACTGCCTTAAATTTTCAATCAGTCAAGAGATTTATTTTAATTGGGGGTTTAAGTTTTGAAATTGCTATTTTTTATAAATCAAATATAAACTTGCAGGATATATATATAAGTTATCTTGCAATCTTTTGAAGTATCAATAAAGCAATGTTTTTTTTTATAAACAGTAGTATGTTTCTCATTACTTTTGTTATTGAGTTATGAATATAAAATATATATTTTAGGAGGTGACAGAAGACTATGATATCCATGGTAAGAAGAACTCAATGGCGATTGGTCGATGTTATCCAATGAAAAACAGAGATCAGGATGTTTTACCTTGTAAGTGTCCTAACTTTATACAAGTATTTGTACTGCATACATGGTACACATCTCACTATGTAGTGAGTGATATCTTGCATTCAAAATTGCAGTAGTGATTTTCTTTCACAAAATTTTTACATTCACCTTAATAAGATCTCACATTTTTACCACTAATCAGTGATTCGTAATAATAAATGCATGCATTAATTTCTGAATTTTCAACATTTGGTCTATAACTTTAGATTGTTGAATTATATGTTGGAAACTATTAACTGATTTGTTGGTCAGAAAATTGACTTTTTGACATTGAATTTTTATTGTACCCTCTAAGTGAGGAATTTTTTGTCATTGTCTTAAAACGAGTACAGTATACTTTTCAAGGCATCACATGTAGTGTCTTGTTCAATTTTCAAAATTTTAGATTACCAGATCCACGTTTTGCAAAATTTGCAAAGAAATCATAATAGATACACTGGTAGACCTATTTGGCAAATGACCGCGATTTTTGGATAATCTGCGCGGAACGGAAAATAATTAGAGGTTCATCGTAAATTTGCTGTGTCACAGAAAATTATGCATGTCATCCGGAGATTTACCATGTCGGCGGGAATTTGCCGTTTGTCCGATAAAACTGGTGTGTATTGAGTCAATGATAGAACCAGTGATGCGTGAGCGACGGTAATTAATAGATCGTTGTATATAGATGTTTACATAATCCATTATACAGTGTCGACGGGAATTAGCCGTTGGTCCGATAAAACTGGTGTGTATTGAGTCGTCAATAGAACTACTGGTGCGTGAGCGACGGTTATTAATAGCTCGTTGTGATATATACAATGTTTACAGTCAGATAAACAAAACTGTCTTATTACTCTTTTCAGTCGAGATAATAAAGTTACTTACGATTTAAATATCGAATTTGGTAATTGTTCAATAAAGAAAAATCTATTTTAATGTGACCAATGAACAGGATGAATACACGTGGTAACTTTGCAATACACAACTACAAATATTCTCACCTTATAAAATTCTTCTTTATTGTCATGTTTAGAAAAGAAATCAGTTCCTGTACTAATAGAGTCTTTTTACTGAAGATTCAGTTATCCGGCAAGATGTCATACTGATTTGACACTTGTCCTAGTGTAATTAACACCTGCTGTGATATTCCTTGTACAATACAAGTGGAAGGTCGTAAATAATTCAATCTGTACCCGATTGATCAGAATTAAATTTTACCTGTACAGATATTTACGCTTTATGGAGGATATCATAGATACATGTTATATATTGTATTGTATTTGATGAAGATAATTTAAATACATTATATAATAAAGACCTATTTGCATATACATCGAACATGTTCATTCCAACCAAGAAGGTTTGAAATCGAATGTTTTCATCAAACTTTCGATACAATCAGTCCCGTAAATTATAAATACGAGTCATTCGTTTATGGTTACAAAATTGTTACCCTTCTATCGTCTTATTTCTTTGTGCTATTAAAAGAAACTCACAAATTTCCATATCAGATCGACATATCGTACGAGTCCTAAAATAAATAATTGAATAATCTTCTTTTTACTTTAGACACCACGTTCCCCACAAGAGCCTCAAGGTCTAATCATACCTGTCAATCATTAGCCGCAAGTTGAACATTTTGGTCAGCCTTTCTATTTTGACATCGTTGCGAATTTTTTTAAATTGATATGTGATATGAATAAAGTGATGGGAGGTTTATATACGGCCGATCAGAATTTTTTTTTTTATTCTAATAAGATTTTTCTTAGTGTCAGAGTCTGAATTCGTAATCGTCAAAATAGCATGCTTTACAAAAAGATCGGGCAATTCAAACGTTTCTTTACACATAGATGTTATTAAATACGTCATACAATACATGCAAATAAAACATTTGAGTTCATTTTTTCTGTATCTATATTCAATATATCAAAATTTATTTCAAAAGGTAAACATTTATAATCATTACAAAGTTATAATTTGATTTTTATTTAAGTCGGTTTATTGAAACAATATAATGACATTGTCTTTGCAGAAGTATTAATCCAGAAATTAACGTATTTTGACTTCCCATTTGTTCCACTGTGTAGGATAATTTATTCACGAATTGCATCATAAATAATGACTAACAAAACAGTTGCTGAAATGCAAGTTGTATATTTATAATTTATCAATATGCGTTTTGGTTTCGTTCAGATTTGCTGTTATAGCATGTATTGATTCCTTGATTTTCATTATTTATCTAGTTTTCAGTTGTATATACTAGTTCCAGTCAGTATAGGGCTAAATATTTTGCCTTCCAACAAAGCCAACAATTTAGCATCGGACGTATACGTGATTGCGTATTTATACATTAATCATATATCTATATGTAATATCAGAAGTAATGGACTCCTAGTATTTTGTCCTTTCATAGCTGGCTATGCGGTATATGCTATGCTCATTGTTGAAGGCCGTACGGTGACCTATAGTTGTTAATTTCTGTGTCATTTGGTCTCTTGTGGAGAGTTGTCTCATTGCCAATCTTACCACATCTTTTTTTATAACGGACTCGTTTAGCAATGTTATATCATCACAACAGATGAGAAAAACCCCATGGATGACAATTGTCTATATCCATGTCAACTGGGGTTAGGAGCGGAACATATTGATTGTGTATGTTTATGAGGGTCTGGATAGGATTTATAGAAGAATAGAGAATATAAATGGACAAAAAGTGCACAACAAAGGGCCAAATAAAGTGAAGAAAATAGACGCCAAGAAAATAAGGAATAGAGAAAAATATGAAGAATAGAGAAAAAATGACTTACAAATTAAAAGACAAACAGGATTGAAAGACACCCCTTTCCCCCAATATTCAAGACCCTCGTATGTGTTCAAAGAAAATCTGCATACGCTATAGTTCCTTGCTATAAAGTTACGTTCTCAAATGTTATTTGCCCAAGCCTTTTGAATTAATCAATTCAATTTAAAAATCGGCTCTTTCCAAGTCAATTGTAACGTATTAACGCTCTAGATAACTCATATTATTGACAATTCTGTGTTAAGGGGGTCTCAAATTCTGTTAGACAGCTTCAGACGTACTAATATTTGACCTTTTTTAACTGGACCAAATCACTACTTAACATCAGAGACATATAATACAATTTATATGTCTCTGTTAACATAAAGATTCAGCACCCAATTTTTTTTAATATGTAATTTCATCCACTTACATAAAATTTCATGCATTAGATATCAAGAAATAAATTGGGAAAGTGTATTATAAAAAAAAAATGCTAGTTACACACTGTTCACACCACGACTTTAGGTAAACAAAAACCAAAGAACGATAACTGTGTCCTCGGACCATGTAATTACCTAACTCGAATTATTCAAGCCCTTAACGTCTCCGATTCTCTCCACCTTAGTTTATTTTGGCACCTTCTGCAGGAACGAAAAAAATGAATAGCAAAATCTAGTAAAGTTTTCAATATTCTGAAACTTAAAATGCATTTAAATTTTATTTATCTAGGTCCTGCCATACTGAGGGGGGTAGTAGGGGTCCTGATCCCGAAATACCGGGCTTAAAAACATGGAATCCCGAGGTCCCGAATTTAAAAAAATGTAAATCCCGACATCCCGAAATTCGAAAAAAGAATTCCCGGATCCCGAAATCCCGAGCTTAAAAACACCCGATCCCGGAGTCCCGATAAAGGTCCTACCCCCCCCCACCCAATACTCTAAAAATTTTCAAGATGCACAGGTTTGTCTGTACTCAGAGTGAAATTTGTAGTGTAAATACGGCCCTATTTGCGAAAAGGTTATGATGAACATTAACAGTCAGCAAACTGTCACACAAGAAATAGATTTAATGTCCGAAAACATGTGAAATAGACCACCTTTGTGAGGACATATAATAAAATATGTCGCATATATCTCGACTCCTCTTCGTGACATGTCATACAGAATTTTAATTTATACCGTCTTAGATGACAATTTATCAACGAGGCTGCTTCAATGGTATATGCATAATATAAACTTCATACACATACATTAGTCCCATTTCTAATGTTGTCTTTTCGTCCTCCAACATTTTTTTCAAAATCCGGGATCCGCACTCGACTATATTATGGGAGTCTATCAATGGAGCCAGAGATACATCATAACAAATGGAGGTTTCAACGACCTTGACTGGCTATACAGCCCTTGCACGGTCGGTAAATACATTATACACAGATACACTGGCTAGTTAAAGGGACAATAAACAGAAGTATAAATTGCCCCAGGTATTTAAAGTCATTTATACTGCACTCGTTCTATTTGAGCAGTCAAAATGCGTTGACCGTATATTTCTATGTCATATACAATCACTGACCTGATATCACTTTTCCTCATGAATATTTAAATAGAAATTGCCGAAATTATAATTAATTATTCATACGACCTATTCAACCTGTTCTTGTTTCCAATGTATGCAACGACTCAAACTTATTTCTTTTGCAATTTTTAGAAAAAAAACATATTTCACTTGTTAATACTTTTGGTTTGCAAACTATAAATCATTAGGTTTTATGCTTATTGTTGATATTTTAGTTCATTCTCAAACAAATTCGTTCACCATCGACTGCGGGTTTCAACAGGCAATGTACATTTCATTGTTATGTATATTTCCCCGCCTGCATGATATGAGGCCTTTTTATAAAAGGGGGAAGTTTCCCAATATTTAAATCAAATAATAACATTAACACATTAAAAAACAAATGAAAATGTTTTTTTTTAGATTGCAGTATAAAGACAATAATAGTGCATTGACTTGACATATCAACGATATAAGGATTCGGCCCGAAACGGGGAAAAAGCTCGGCAGAGCCTCGCATTTCCCTGTTTCTAAGCCTCATCCTTATATCGTTGATATGTCAAGTCAATGCACTATTATTGTCTATATATTGTGTGTTATGTGTACACCGCCACGTGTGAGTGATTTCAAAGATAATCAAAATGATGTAATTCATGTAGTATCT